ACATTCCCCACCTCCCTGGCTGTGTTATTGTTGGCCGAGACAGAGGGGTACACAGCTAAGAACCAGGGGTCTTGCAGAGGCCTTTACGGTCCCCACACCAATCAAGGCCTGCACAGCCCAGAAAAAAGTGGATTGTGGACATTGTTGTTGTAGGGTTGTATGGATGGCAACGTCAGTCTCTACAACTCTTGTGAACAGGAATTTCTCAACAATTACTGGATGGATTTTCTTAATTTCAGACATTCCTGATTCCAAGAGGATGGATCCTAACAGCTGGTCATAGCTATGACATATGTACTGAAATAACTCAACATAAAAACTTAAAGGATTGACACAACATTGAGTACAGACATTCATGGTTCCCACATGATGGATCCTTGGTGACCTGACCTTTCATCTAGCACCACCATTAGGTTCGCATTTGTGTTTATAAGTGAAACCTCACCAACTAATTGATGGATTGCCATAAAATTAAATTTGGTACCATGTAATCTGGAACACAATTTAATATTCCCATCAGCATTAAGTATAATAACTTCCCATCAGCATTTAATTAAAATAATGAACATGATTTACACCTGCTAAACATCACTATGTTAGCATTGTCACGTTAGCGTTTAGGTAAACCACCACTGTGGTGATTTGTTTCTCTTTGCTCACCATTACCAGAGGTTACACTGTCTACATACTATTTATACTTACTGTATTTTTATCCAAAATGTTTTTGCAGTCCCTTGTAGCTGTACAGACTGCATTCAGCCATGGAAAGCAGTGAAAGCTTTCACCACAGAGGAGAGGAGAGAGAGGAGAGGAGTGATAAAAAAAAGGCCACAATCGAACAAGGTAACAAGATAAAGTTGTGAATGTCATTAGGACTCCATTGGGAGCACAAGAAAGAGCAGCAGACATTCAGTGTTTCTGAACATGTTGGCTAAATACATTATTTATACACACTAGGCCACTTTTACACATGATTTGAAGTGAAACTCTTCTAAGTGTTATTCTGTATGCTCAGCTTTAACAAATATTTACCACCTTACCCGCTGTGCTGTGTCTGTGCATCTGTTGTTGTGATTGGCTCTAAAACAGGAAATGAACTCAGTGGCTATCATACTTGTTTGGACACCAAGGTTCAGCTCAGTATAACAATTATATATCAATCATTCATCACACACACACACACACACACACACACACACACACACACACACACCTCTAGTCACACACAGGCATGTCTGTATATAGACAGGAATATTAATCAGATTTAATTGTGTCTTTCCCTTTCTCCATTATCTGTATATGCTGACGTCTGTATGTGTTAGTTTACTTTCTACCAGCCTGAACGACTAAATGAGCTTACTCCCAACAGCCTAAATTCCACCACTAATACAATTACAGCTTAGATTTCATTAAATTCATTAAACCGTGAATGCATCTAAAAAAAGGTGCATTTCCTGTAAGTAGAGCGTATAGGAAACTGATCATCCTGCAGGTATGAGGACACAAAGAATTAGCTCTAACAGCTGGGCAAAACAAAACATGAGGAGATAACAGGATACACCCAGCTGGGAGAGAATGTCCCTGCCCTCACTGCAGAGATGATAACATCATGGGAGCACAATTACACCTGTCAACCAGAGGGCTTGTCAGGGTGTCTGTGGTGCAACTCTGGTAAGTGGAGACCTTGCACAGAAAATTAACAACAACAACAAACCTCTGACTGTAAATCACCCTCCAAGGCCAGAAGAACAGAGTTTATTTGTGTGTGTACAGTATACACTCACTGGTTCCTGCAAAATGATAGTGTGTACTTAATGTCTTGCAAGGACCTGTCACACATATCTCAAGAATTCCACAGCCACAGACAGAAAAATCTCTTCATCTCTCCATCATAGCTGCCGCATCAGTCACATGTTCTGTCTCCATCCTGAACAAGTCCTGCAAACCAAACGACATACTGATGCTGATACAGACAAAAAAGGAAGACATCATTGGTTTAGAGAAAGCAAACACAAAGAGCCAGGCATTCTTAGACATGATTAATTAAAGCAAATAGCATGTTGTAGCCCTGTGAGAGCAAGGGGAGCCATCTGCTCTATAAGGTTGCCCTGCAGAACACCACGCTGAAGGCTGAATTTACTGTCTGACATCCGCATAGTGGTTACAGGAATCTGTCTGTACTCACAGAGCTACAGTTACAGTATCTTTATTTAATTTCCTTCAGCCTTTGCCCTCTAGGCTCTATAGAAGCAAACAGTCATTGTCAGTATAGAGGTGAAATAGGACTTTAACCTCCAGAACCCAGGATACATGGAATAATACCTCCTACTTCTCGTCTGTAAAGGGGTTAAAGGTTATGTGACAGTAAGACAGTAAGGCTACATATACACCCCTGTAGTGAAACGACAGATCTGTACATGACACCTGCAAGCCAGGGCTATACCTGTTTATGGGGGTTACTTTATCTCTGTGTGAGGATAAAAGCAGAATATTTGCAATTTTTCAAGTATAAACTATTTGGATGCCTATGTTAATTACATACAGCAATAAATCACTGTCTGCCTCATGGGTCGTGATTTTTGTAATACTAGAGAAAGCATACTTAAACATCTGCTGGGTGTAATTGCTTTCCTCCTGAGGCCTTTTCCTGTATACTGTTAGAGTATGATTGGTATGAAAGGCAGTGTCATGTGAGCACGGCTCAAAGTCTTATCAGCTTTTTTCGCTTGATTGTTGATTGATAAATTATATCAGTAACAGCAAATATATTCATACTGAATTTCTTTCTCTGCCATGCATCTTTGCTGCAGTTTCGTGAAACCACCCAGTACAGTGGCAACATGTTCCCTCTCTGATGATAAGTGCAATGTAATAACTTTTAAATAACATTTAAACTGTGTGTCGGTGTATCCTGAGGTCATGAGTAACAACATAGTAGCTGCTGATGACAGACATGGTTGTTAAAGGTTCCTTGTCCCGGTGAATACTACTGGTAATATTCCCTATTGTCATTAAGATTTATATTGTAAGTGTAAGATATACAAAGTGCTAAAATAAGTTACCCTCATTACTTCCCTTTATGTCTGTTGTGTTTATGCTACTTCTGCAAAACCCTGATCTAATGGCCTCCTCTCTCTTGTGAGTGCTTTTACATCTACATCTTGTGGTGTGCTACAGTGAGTAGATGCTTTGAAGGCCGACAGACATTTTTATTCACTGGTCTTTTACAAAAGAAATCCTTGATGAAAGCACTGCCGCCTTTTTATTCTTGCACTCCAGTGTCTCTGTTTCTTTCCCTCAGCTCACCTTAGGAAGTAGAACAAGAGGAAAGTAGGACACAATTCAGACTCCTGTGATTTTCTGCAGAAAGGCTCATTACTAAAAGCCAAATATAGGTCTACACAGGGTGCCAACTACAGGGGAGCTTGACTCCTCTTAATAAGATTTAAACATAAATTGTGAAACTTTGGGGGGTCTGTGAAATGTTGACAAAATCAGCCCTTCCAGGATTTTTTTGGTGGGTGAGGAGTTGTTGCAGTCTAAAATGTATGATTTCACAACAGATATTGTGCATGATGATGTTTTTAAGGATGTTTTGCCATGAGAATTGAAGACAACTTGTTCCAGTAAGAATAAAATTGTAGTTTCTGCATCTTCAAGTGAATTTGGTGACATAAGACTTAACATTTTGTGCAGGAAATGGCAATGATTGGTCAAAATTGCAGAGTTGAGTGTTGATTGGGCAAAAGTGCAAGGCCATGCAAAATTCAGGAATTCAATTATGCTTAAACTATTGATGTATGATTTGTGCATAAGGTGATTCATCACTTATTAACACTGCTAATCATGCCATCCCCACTGAAGAGTGACAGCCCAATATCATTAACTTCAGATCAGAAAATATCACAAAATATATCCTCCTCCTACAGTAGAAAAAGGGAGCTCCCCTGAAAGCCCTGGTATAGTTCACACACTGGGTCTACATAAAATAAGATACAAAAAATATAATCTACATATATATATAAATGCGTAACTCCTATGTTTTCAGCATTAAACACTGCAAAAAAATGTCTTCCAAAGGGATCCTTCCAAATGTTCACTCTTATTTGTGGATATCATATATAACTAAGAGACTGGTACAAACTGATTTGCTTTTTTAGGGCTTTGTTTGCAGTAAATGACAAGATGTTGTCACATTTTTATGACCATCATATTAAAATGATAGATTGCATATCATGAAATGACGGCCATATAGTTATCTCATGCAAGGTGACAAAAAAAAAACCCAATGAAAGCGATGCTGATGACGACAGATCGGCTCTCCCCGCCCTCGGCGGGAGCAGGTTGCGTCAAACACGCTCCTCCTCTCCTCTCCTCTCCTCTTCTCTCCCAGTTGCTGCTGTTCGCTTCTCATCATCCCCATCACCGGAGCGCGGACAGGTAACCGCAATGTCGCGTTTATAGTCTGTTATGGAAGAACAATGAGGCGTTTGTTAGGGGGTTTTCTGGCATTTAGAAATCGATCAATGTGATTAAATGTGATTGGGTTGTTGTTTGTTGATGGGTCTGCTCGGCTGGATGTGAGAGGTGGGCTTCCTCCCTGTAGTTGCCGGACTTCATGGGATATTTATTAATAATATGTTGCTTGTTGTTAGTCCAAAACCTGGTTTATTTGTCTCAGCAGATAAGGTGCGTGTCTGTTATGTGGCTGGTTGCGACTCGCTGTCATGCGCAGGCTGTTTTGTTTTCTCTTGCCAGCAGGGTGCATGGAGGCTTTAACTCACGCTTTCATGCTGTACGCCTGTAATCAATTATCAGCCGATCGATATGACGCTGTAGGAAGCTTTTAAACTCCAGCCGACCAGCTTTGAATATGCGATTTCATAACCGCAGGAAGGGGTGTGTGTGTGTGTGTGTGTGTGTGTGTGTGTGTGTGTGTGTGTGTGTGTTTATTTGTGAATGTGTTTATTTGTGAGCTCGTGAGCGTGTGCGCGTGCATGCGTGTGTGTGCGGGTTTGGCAGATAGTTCTTGAAGCTCTTGCAAGTGTCAAGGCAGCATTGTTCAGGAATGTTTGGGATACATGCAGGATCACATGCTCGGATCGAGGCCCACTAAGGTTTTTGTTTTTGTTTTGTTTTTTTGCTGGCTGGTAGATTTGCATGTTCTGTGTTATGTTCAAGTAATCAACTGTTGTTTCTTGTTGTTGCTGTTTTGTGGTCAAACCAATGAGTATTTGTGGTGTGAAGCTAAAATAATTCGTTTATTAATCATTTTTATAATCAATGAATTGATTGATTTTAATCATTTTGCCAAACCTCCTCTGTTTCAGCTTGCCAAGTGTGATGATTTGCTGCTTTGTTTAGTTATATATGAATGTACACTGAATATCTGTAGGTTATGAACTGTTCATTAGATACAACGAGGAATTTGAAGACCTCACCTTCAATCTGGGAAATTTAAATTGGATTTTCCCCTATTTTCTGATACGCTATAGACCAACATTTGATCCATTATGATCAAAAGTAAACGTGTGAACAAGATGCTGCTTTGCTCCCTCTGTGTGTCTTTTAATGTGTAATCTTGAGGGTCTCAGCTGCTGTTTGGTATAAAAATGAATAAGGCATCAATGTTTTAGCAGGTCAGGTCTGCTCTGGAAAACACTCACATTAAAACACTGTTCTCCTTCTCTCCTCCCCTCAGGATGGAGGCCCTGCTAAATGAGTGGCTGTGGCAGGAGGAGTACTGGCTTCCTGCTGGCATGCACTGGCAGGACATTAGGATGAAAGAGGACGAGGGCCGCTTTCCTCTACCCAGGGATCTTATCTACACCTTGCCTCTGGCCTTCGCCTTTATAGCCCTCAGATATGTCTTTGAGAGGTGAGACACACCTGCCTCAATCTCAGCTGGACCATGAAATCACAGATGCAAGACTTGCTTTTTCACTGTTGTCATTAACTATGACATGTGCTATGCTTGACTCACTGGAGCAGTAAGTTTTCAATGTTTATGGTGAACCTACAACTGTGATTTTAAATGATGTATGATTGATTGGAAGTGTTGCAAAGCCTTAAGTAAACAGTTAAGCACGATGGTGACTTCTATGAGTCGGTCGCCAGGTGAAAGCAAATGTGTAAACGCAATATTGTGTGTATCTGATTTCCTCTTCGCACTGGTCATGCTGGCTGGCTGGTTTTCTACCTGTGTGGCCCAGAATAATGGCTCCTTTACCCTTCAGTAGTGCTCCCTATAGATGGATGTAGGCATCATGAGTAGACAGTTTTTAGCTGCTGACTGTGTGAAAGCCCGCTCTCCTCCCGGAGGGACAGTGTTCGGCCTTTTAAAACGTGATGTATACATTGGAGGAAACAGAGGATAGTAATTGTGATATGGCAACGGTGATGGTGGTTTCTTTAGAGCTGATGAACAACAGTAAGTGAGCTAAAATGAATTTGTTTTGTGTTGAATGGCTACAGAGCTAATTACTGGAGGAACTACCAGCCTCCGCAACCTCTTATAGAGATATAGCAACTGCTGGTTGCTGGAAAAACTTGAATGTAAATTCCCAGTAGGGCTTACTTTGAGAATCCTGATGAAGCATCTTGAGACTTAAAAGGTCAAAACATCTCTGTGATCATGGAAAGAGGGAATTTAATCTTTTCTTCAGTACAAAATAATGACAGCATACATTAAAAAAATATATGTTTTGTGTATTTGAGCAACACAAGGTGGATTTTGATATGTTTTGAAGCATTTAACAGCATTTAAGGGTATTTTTACATTGGAGTCTTTTGATATGTCAGTTGAAAGAAAATTATTTTGTTGATCAGTTCATTGTCTAAGTGATTTTTCAAACAGAAATGTGACACTTTCAAATTCTAAATGGAAGAATTTGCATCTTTACATGATACTTAGTTGAATAATTTGGGGTTTTGGACTGGTGATTGGGCGAAACAAGACGTTTCATGAAGTAACTTCAGGCTCTATTGTTGAATAATAGAAAATAATCATTAGTTGCATACTTAAAATACTTAAGTGGTGCTCATATACAGGGCTACTAAATATGAATGAACACTAAAAGGTTCTCTGTCTGTCCCAGCTCAAGGAAGTCTAGACACTTGTAAATATGATTCAAGTATGAGATCATTTATTTACACTTTTACACACTATTGTCCATAAAAGTAAACAATGGTGCGGGTGTTTATAGGACTGGACAATAAATCAAATTTACAGAATCACCAACACAAAACTCTTATTGACCTTAATTTACACATTTTACATACATATCACATCAGAAATGAGACAAACTGAGTAATGAAATATCATCCACTGATGTCTTAAAAATGTGATATTACATGAAATTATTAATTAATGTATTTATTTTATCTTTTATTTTATTTTATTGTCTCATAAGTGTCTAACTGCTTTAACTGCAGGTTAAAGTTCACGGTCAACTTGTGTCTGTACACTTAACTAGTTTTGCTGGTAGCAGAATGGGAATTGACAGTGAGAATGCACAGACTTTTGATGGATGAATAGATAGGAGGCTTGTTTTGCATGCTTTCCCTTATCTGCTACTGTATTACCTGTGCTAAAGTTGAAAAGCCGGCATGAGCTTCCTTGACATGGGCTCTTCGTAAGATTGGCACTATTGTTTAACTTAAAGCCTTTTTGTGTTTATTAGCAGAGTAGTAACATTAGATGTATTACTGTATATAGCATATTAACACATTTCCCCCCGGGGATCAATAAAGTATTTCTGATTCTGATTCTGATATGCAGTATACCAGCATGCACCTGTGTGGGGAAGTTGTGGACAGTGAAGTATTCAGGAGTTGTTTATGTTCGAGGAGCTGTCAGTAAGCTGGAAGGTGAAAAGGTGTGTCTTAATTTGATCATCCTGGGTCGCAGCTGTTTCATGTATTGAGGTAGGGGTGTGTGTGTATTTGTGTGTGTGTGTTTGTGTGTGTATGTGTTAGAGGTTCCTGTAACCAGAGACCATGTTTGTCTCTCAGTGAAAAGCTGTCCTGACCTTCTCATTCTCTCTGATCTCGCCCTCTCTGCCCACTTTAGGATGATTACGTCTGAGCTAGAGTTACACACATGTGATTATGCACGTGCACACACACACACACACACACTTACACAAGCACATTTATCAAACATCTATCCAGTACTTATACACTCACATTGTCCTTGTTATTCTCCATCACTTCAACATCTCCGTCTCTCTGTAACACACACACACACACACACACACACACACACACACACACACACACACACACACACGTAGATCAAGTGTCTCTTGATGCCATATCTGCTAATGACAAAGGCAGTCTAGCCAAATGTCACAATATGCCCATGGGAGCGGCTCTACAGGCTGTCAGGAGCAGCATAATGAGCTATCTTGTTGCCATTACTCTGCACTGGTCCGTGGTAGGATCACATTGGACAGCTGTTGATGTCTTCTCTCTTTAATCCCTCTGGAATTATATATATATATATATTATTATAATCCAGTTTGTTGCACTGTCAAGATTGAAGTTGATGAGGAAACATTTTCTTTTGTCTTTCTCCTGTTCTTTGTCCTTTCAGGCTCATCGCCATCCCATTAAGCAAATGTTTAGGTGTGAAGGATCGGATTCGGATTCGAGCTGCTTCCATCCCAAAGCTGGAGACCTTCTACAAACAGAACAGTCGGCAACCATCACAGGTTCGTATTCCCATTTTTTGACAGAAGATCTCTCTTCTGTCTACTCATTAATTTCCATTCCTATTTAAGATCCCCCTACTTTAACGTCTTCAGTTTGGTTTACTCACTAATCTCCTAACAGGTGTCCTCTTATGTTCATCTGGATATCCTTAAATTAATACCTTGCAGTGATAAACTTTACAAGAAGCAGCAAGTACTTAGTGAACTGTTTTTGCCCCAAGCTTCACTTCACAGGCTTCAAAGCGGCTGCCCTAACTTTGTTCAGATGCATCTGAGGAGGAGGATCTGCAGAATTAGGGCTGAAAAAAGTACTGCCACCTCGTCTGTGTGTTTATCAGGAAAAAACAAAACAAAACATATCATCTATATTTTGATATACAGTTAATACTCTCCCAAAAAAAGATGCTAGAGCTGAACATAAATCAAAGATAAGGCAGTAAAGGACATGGCTCTTTTTGGTAATGACACAAATGTATCTATTGACTGGTTAAGGTTAGGGCTAAGGCTTAAAAGCATTTATTTTTTTAAAGAAAGAAAATTTCTAAGCATGCAGAGCAATAATAAAAAGAGAGGAGAATGTTAATGTTAATAAAAACATCATACAGGAAACCATTACATGATTATAAATGTGATTAAGTTGTTGTAAGTAAGTTGGGAGTTCTCACCATGAGTCTCCCAATCATAATGCTTAGTGTGTTTGGAACAGTCACCTGCCTTGAAGGAAATTGCATGACCTGCTAATGCAAACGTGTGGGAGTTTGAATAAATTTTCAGACCAAATTGCAGGAAATGCAACGACTGATGGAAAGAGTGTGGGCAGGACTGACACAGTTTTATATATGTTGGTAGTGTGAGTTAAGTGTGTGTGGGTTTTATCTCAGCCAAAGAGCTTGATGAGCTGTCTTAGAACAAGGAACTGATAAAAAGAGGAAGTCCCCAGATATTCACCTAGACTCAGTCACACTGATGTGTTACAAAGGTACAGTGATGAGTCATGAAACAGGAAATTTTAAAGTTTTAAGTGTTAAGTGTGTTTCCTCTAGAGTGTGAGAAATTGTTCCTTCCTTTAAACAGCTCTGCCATCATTATGTTGTCTAATAAACCTCAGTTGTCATTGTCACCTTTTATTGCCATCATTTCCCTTTGTGATCAGAATGTTAGTGAACCAAACATGTGCATAAAAAATAGGGTAATAACAATGCAATCACTGCATAATCACAAGTGTGCCTCTGTGCAAACTACGCTGTATTATTTTCCCTTAATCAGTGAACAGGTACAGGCAAGTCGCAATGAGGTACAGGTTCACATGGGAATTCTCAGCCCTCCTCTTGGTTTCACTTGGCACTGCCACACTGATCTTCCAGTGCAGACAAGCAGTGTTCTGTCCTATCAGATATGTAAATACATGATTTGACATATTCAATGAAAATTCACTTCTCCATGAGCACTGTTCTGTCTGTCTATGTGTGTGTTCATGTGCATAATTCCACTCGTGCCAGTGTGCCCTGACTTATTTGCAATTCATCTATTTCCATGTGGCCTGGACTAGCAGCAGCAATGCCAGTGTTATGTGTGTTGTCACCACAGACACATGACTGAATAGAGAAAGTACTGTGATAAACATTTGTAATAAGAATTTGGATTACACAGTCAGGGTTAAATGTTGCACCCCAAGTATTCTTGCCTTCAAAATGTATCCTTTAATACAACACAGGTGTTTTCAACAGCAACACAACACCCTGTCAAGTATCAGGATGCAAAAAGAAAGAGCAGACAGACATTGTTACAGACTCATCAGCACAGAACAAATGCTTGGGTTGTACACATTTATCATTGTAGGAGTCCTCCATTTTGACAGGTCAGATGTGCAGCTTGTATGAACTGCATTTTCGTGTAATGAATGTGTAACACAGCTGTCAGGGACATCGACAAGGAGGTCTGGTTGGTAATATATCACGTATGAAATATTCCATCTCAGGGAATGATAGAGCGGCCAGCAGCATAAAACATTTACTGTCTAACCCTGTATGTGTGCACCCATAATGTATGTGTGAATATGTATTTTTGTGTATTCAGAGTGAGGTGGTGAGCTTGGGGAAGCAGTGTGGACTCTCCCAGAGAAAGATCCAGACCTGGTTCAGACACAGAAGGAACCAGGACCGACCCAGCAACACCAAAAAGTTCTGCGAGGCCTCGTGAGTTTTTATTATCTGAATCACAGTTGTGTATGTCTGTCCGTCAAAGCTGTAGCAGGCTAAATGTTTAATGGAAAGTACAACAATCCTGTCAGCCAAAAGGTTAAAGTGGAGCTGCAGGAGAGCTGAGCGTCTCACCACTCTGTAGATTTGCACTGTGGAGCTAACTGCAGGTTTGTTGCCTGTGTTGTTTACAGGCAATGAGTTTACTGATGTCATGTTACATGATGTCTGTGGGAAAGGTTGCTGCTTAGTTCGCCATCAATCACCACACAAAGTGCTATCTTTGAATTACATCAGTGAAATGCAGCATGTTAAACCTTTCATATTTATGTGAATAGACAGTACAGCTGTGTAAGATCCCTCTTTGACATTTCTTTCTCTTTGATCCTGATAAAAGCTAATTCACTAATTTAATTTATACCATAGCCTCTAACTAATGATGTTGTTTATTTTTATCTGTACAGCTGGCGTTTTGTCTTCTACCTTGTAGCGTTCACTGGAGGGCTCGGCTCTTTAATTAATGTAAGTCTGTCAGTCACTTTTATTTCTTTTAAAAGATAAGCAGGCCTTCATTACAGATACAATGTGTGGGAATAGAATGGAATGCTTATGATTATTTGATCTTCCAGACTCCATGGTTCTGGGATGACAGCGAGTGTTGGAGGGGATATCCCAAACAGGTGAGCAGGAAATAGCATGATTTTAATGTTCTGATGTTGTTTATATAAACTCTAAGACACAATCAGGAAGTATTTAAAGTAACAGCCTGTCCTCTTAGATTAAGTAACTTTCTTTTATTCCAGAAATGCCAGTAGGTACTTTCAGTTGGTATCTTGCTGTATTTTAATTTCAATAGTGTTGAAATGATTATTAGATTATTGACTAGTCGTTCAACAAGATTATGAACTGAATATGTTTGGCTTCGGACCGTGGGTTGGACAAAACATCACCTATGGGCTATTTGAACTTACAATGGGCATTTTTCATAATTTCCTGCAAATTTATAGACTAAATAATCAATTGAATATATATACGTATATATATTACAAAATTCAACCTTTCCTTTCCTTTAGCACAACTTGGACACACACTAACACACTTAAAAGAAAAGCGAGCAGAAAAAACAATGGCTGGGAGTGAACCAAGAAAACAAAAAGTCTTAAGTCTGTGTTGAAGGATTTAGCCACAGAAGACTTTGGGTTTCTTACAAAGTTTGGTCAGTGCACTCCACCCTCCCACTAACTTTCATCTCAATTCCTTTATAGTTGGCTTGAATGCTTTTGTCTTTGCAGGGGTTTTTTTTCACTCTGAGCCTGAAAAGCCAATATCTCTACTGTTTCAGTGACAGTTAGTCATGCCTGCAGGTCAACATTCCTGCAGGGAAGACAGTCCTTCCTTGTGGGGTCATGGCCTATAACAGAAAACACTAGGAAAAAATGCCAAGCTCTCTATCTGCAGTTTGACTGATTATCGCTCCTGCCGGCAAAACTGCCTCTGAACTTTTTTTGTTCCCTTTCTGAGGTCTCGTGGCCTCTAAGACAGAGAAAGGATGTGTTTTTAGGGGTTAAATGCCTCAGCCAACTTCCTACTATTGTGGTTGTGCAGACTTATGCTGTGTGTTCTGTAGGAGGTATTTTGTTTAGAGATAGTGCACCACCACTTTCTTTGAATAAAAGCCCTTCCGTTGAAAAGAGGTTGACAGTTTTGTTTATACAGTATGTTCTTTATATGTTCTTATTGGACCATTAAGAGCTTTTGGAACTTCACCACTGGTTTTTCACGCACACACATAAACAAACCAATCAAACAGGGTGAAGCTGTAAATGCTCAGTCGTGTGGAATCCTGGGTAGTTTTAGGACAAAGGGCGCTTTTGAGGGTCCCATTACCTCCAAAACCCCACAAATCTTCAGATCTTTGTCAGCACACACACGCAGGAGGGGCCAGAACTGCAATATCAGTTCATTCTGCTCTTTTAGCTTTATCATACATCTATAGCATGTTTTCCTGCAGCTACACAGATAAGCAGGATGATGGAAATGCTTCTGTTGCAACCACATACCACTCAATTTAAATTCCCTACTTTTTGTTCTAACTTCTCTCTCTCTCTCTCTCTCTCTCTCTCTCTCTCTCTCTCTCTCTCTCTCTCTCTCTCTCTCTCTCTCTCTGTAGCCGGTGGCCGAGGCTCATCACTGGTATTACATCTTGGAAATGGGCTTCTATGTGTCCTTGCTTCTGTGTGTCTCTGTGGATGTCAAGCGAAAAGTGAGTGTGAGCTTGGTTTTCATACAAATTGAATCTCACTGCAACATCCTGATGGATGGTTTTCAGATGGTTTCCTGTGCACTTCCTCTCATTTTGTGCCTGAGATTTGAACTTTTAGTCAAGTGGTCAAAACCAAAAAGCTAAATGTCATTACTTACTCACTCATTCCACAGTGTAATCCAAATGTTGATTTTCTCTTGCAAGATTATACTTAATACGGATTATGCATCGGATTATCTGATGTTACATCATAACTTTGTGTACTTTTCATTTGGTGTCATTTTAAAACTTGAGTATGGCAGGATTTTAAGTCTTTTGCACATACTGTAAATTAATTTACTCCAGACTCCTTTTAAATGTGTTCTACACTACTTAGTCTTAGTTAGTCTTTGCTATATTGCTAAACTGCTTTATATACAGAAATATAGAGTTTCAATGTAATTCATCTATTTTTCATATTTTAAGGAAACCACTTCAGATGCTTTCTTAGGCAATTTTCTAAATTCTGGAAGAAGAAAAAGTGGTTTTGTGTGGTACACCAGACATTCCAAGCTGCTGATCAAAGATATTTTGAGAAAATCACATCAGACAACATGTAAATTTGCCGTCCCAATACTTGGACTCAGATGGAGAGCTGCTGAAGTTGTGGTTACGCTACTATATATCCTCCTCATACTGTGTGGTCTCTGTGTGTTCATGCGTGCGTTCCAGGATTTCAAGGAGCAGGTGATTCATCATATCGCCACCATATTCCTCATTGGTTTCTCCTACTGTGCCAACTTTGTGAGGGTTGGCACTCTGGTGATGTTGGTGCATGACTCTTCTGACTTCCTTTTGGAGGTAAAACACCACACCCAAATTTCACAACTGTGATTGTGTACTTTAAGTTGGAGGAAAGGAAAAAACAATTACAAAAGGCATAATTAAAATGCTTTGAAATGCCAGAAACATAGTCACAGGGAACTTGACTTGAATACAGTCAATGTGCTATTTGTTGAGTTTTCCTATCCTTACACTCTAACAAATTGTGAGTGTACATCTAGTTTGAACCGAGCTGCGCATAGAAAAGCATTAAAGTCATTTGTCAATTGTAAAAATACTCTTTGTGGCTGTAAAATTATAACCTGCAAGTCCTCAGAAAAACAATAGGCCCATTGTTCTTGGTTTTATGAGGCTGATTTTCCCGGGTGTAACATTTCACTGATAGCATCTGAAAATCAAGACTGACACTCATCTCAGATAAGGAAATATGTAGAGCTAGTCACATGACCTCAGGCATTACTGGGTGTTGTCTGGCACTAAAGGGACAGTGATGCAGGTGTCATGTTCAGCCAGTAACTCTGTACAGCTGGGTGTGTGTTTCTGAGTAGAGGACCTGGTTCAGTTTATTAGAAAGTGGTAACTTAATAACTACAGATTATTAATGGCATTTTGGCCTGTGAAAGTCTATTATGAATATATTGCCTGAATTCATTCATCTTTGTCCTGCCACTCATTTTATAACTGGTAATTTCAATGATGGAGATCTCATTTTGGAGTAAAAGCTGTTAATTTCCTTTCAATTTTGAATAGTGTTTCTAGGACTGTTGGCAGCATTTGAATTATTGAAGATGAATGGTTTTCACATTTTAAATTTGGAAATCAGACTACTTGAGTGCATGTGAAGTGAATGGAGTGATATTAATTGTGCTACAACAAATCAAAATTGATGGAATAAGGTCAGGCTATGTAAAGGAGTTTTAAGGAGACTGTCCTGCAGTCAGTTTGAAGCACTGAGCCTCTTTTTGGTCACTCGCTGTAAATCGCTCCAGAAAAAGTATCACAGATAAGCCAAGAATTGTATAGGATTAAAGAGGTCACTCTTTTTGTGATTACTGATGAGTGACAAGCACCTTTTCTTCTGAAAGTCTGCCAAGATGTTGCACTATGCTGGCTGGACGAGGACGTGTGACTCGCTGTTTGTCATCTTCGCTCTGGTCTTCCTGGTGACGAGGCTGGTGGTGCTACCTGGCAGGTAAAACATGGTGGAATATGATTATTATTATGATATATTGATGTATTTTTTCATTGTTTTCTCTCAGTTTTTAAGTAAAATTGTGTACAGATGTTGTTTTCCAGAATCAAACACATGGTTTTGCACAAACTTTTGCCTCAAACTAGGGGGTCACTTTGTTTTTCTGCAGTGGTCATTTGGTTTGGAGGTCTGTGTCGTAGCAATAATACAACAAGTCATCTTTCACAGATTTTTATCTTGCATCATACACTGGCACTTTTCAAATACTGTTTTTGTACTTCCTGTAGCATGTACTAATGTTTTGTTGGAACTGTCAAGGATCTGCTCCGTTGCTCACCCAACTGTGTCCATGTCGTCTCGTATTTCCTCATGCATCTTTGTCCTTTTCTCTCTCTCCCACCGACCTTACATCACTGAGCTAAGCTGAGAGCAGCAGATTTATAGTCCCTGGCGAAGAATTGATTCTGCCAGTTGTGAAACAGTACTTGAGTGATTCGCAGTGCTCTAAACCTTTCAAGTTTGTGCTGGAACGATACTAAAACCAACTGTGTCTCACTGTGTTTGTTTCCCAGAGTGCTCTACTCAACCCTGGTAGTGTCTCTAGAGTTCTTCGGCCCTTTCCCTGGTTATTATTTCTTTAATACGCTGCTGTTAGTGCTGCAAGCTCTCCACATCTTCTGGGCTTATCTCATCCTGCGCATGGTCTGCAAGTTTGTGTTCCTGGGCAAGGTGAGAAGAGTGCAAATGAAAAGGGAAGGACAATAAGTGCAGTACTTGGGCACCAAAAAATGTTTATTTACTTATTTACTTCCTTCATAGGTGGAGCGTGATGAACGTAGCGATGAGGAGAGTGAGGTGGATGATGAGGAGGAAGAGGAGGAGCCTGAGGAAGGAGACGAGTGCAGCTGGGAACAAAGAAAAGGTGCAATCAACTCCAAACTGGCATCGCTGGCTAACAACTGTGTCCTGAACAACCTCACCAACCAGAGGAATATAAATAGCAGACTGCCCAAAGCCAGATAGTGGAGCAGCCTCCTTCCACATCTACCAAGCCTCACTGGAAGAAAAAAGTTATTTTTCCCTCCCGCCTAATGGAGATTAACTCATGTCTGACATAATATACATACATATGGCTTGTGTACATCCAACATGGTCCATTGATGATTTCTGATCAGGGTAAGTCTGCATCTTGCTTATCTTGAAAAAAAGAGGGCAAAGAAGCACAGATGATTGTAAATCTGCACAACCAGTGTGAGATTAGGAAGAAACGCCATTGTTACTGTCACCCATACCACTACATACTATAAAAATATATTTGGCAAAAAAAAAAATTCGTTTACAACAAACCATATGAGTTCTTTTTGCAAATTTTGTATTTCTGTGGTTTCTTTTCATTGAACTATAATAACTTGTTTGTAAATACATAAGCATACAAGTACCTGGGCTGTGCTATAATGCATCCTTTCTGTTGAACAAGAAAAACTAAATGTTTTTTATACAAAATCAAACTGTTCTAATCTAATCTGTGGTATAATGTTTTAAACAGAGCAAACTAAAACATAGAATTAATAGTAATTCACTCCCACAGCTTTGTATCCACATACACGATATGGTTGATTGTACATAGACTATTAAAAACATTGATTGTAGTAAATCTGTTGATAAACCACTTTATATATATATTTTTTATGAACCAATTACTCAACAGGTCATTTTATGTTGTAATCTGTGACAGAATATAAAAGGCTACTGAAGAAGTCCTTTAGGGATGATAGTTATATTTTTCTGTTTGAGCTTACTCCTTAGAAAAGATATGACGCCCTCTGGTGCACAATGAAGAACATATCCTTGTAGAGAATCCACTCCCCATGTCTGATGAAATGATGCCTTTACAAAAAATGTTACTGCTCCTAGAAATATGGACCTAAAGCTATATGTGTATGTGTTTGTTTTTTGTTTCTTTTTCTACTTTGAACATTGTGACAGGCAGCATGATATCTCAACTAGGCTTTTTGTTATGGTTTGCTCTACTGGACTTTAGTTTTGTGCCTTGGCTGCTGTTTTTTACACTATTCTGTGACAAGCACTTGATATTAAGCTCTGCGTGTAAGTAGGATTACCTTTACTGGACAAACACACGGGCCAAGCCTTACTGTGACTGGTTCTGATGTTTTGTGTGAAATGTTGGTAAGGCTGCTGGTGCCTAGGTAAAACTTAAGTATGCATACAGATGGGCATTAGTGAAATGTGAGGTATTTTAGATAGTAGAGTTGTCTACAAAGGTAAAATGCTTTATGGCTCAGATGAATAAAAGTTTTAAGATTTAATGGTTATTATAAAAGACTGACATATTTTCATATGATTAGACTGCATTCTACAAGAGCTGGAGTTTACATGTGTTTAAACTGTAAGCTTCTTCCTGGCTTGGTTCCAGCCATCATAAACTACAGTACACTCACTACCAAAACACTGGTATTACATTTTCATAGGTTAGTGAGACAACTCTTAAAGATATGTGTCTTACGTGTCTGCATACTGCAACAAACAATATTTTATATAAAGGAGCAGGAGTAGAAGCAGGCTCGTGTCTGACTCTGAACAGGGACTTAAGAGCAGTGGGGTCCCCAACACAAGGTTGGATTTAAGTTGTAGTGCACTAAAAGGGCTGATCCACTGAATAACACACCCATGACCCGCACTAGAATACTGCTTTTTTTTAATCAAAAATAGAAAACCTGGTGAAATATAATGTTTCAATGAAAGTGACTATCAAATGTTCTCTTATGACTGCACCCAAATGCTTTGTTGATTGTGTTGTCAGTTGAAAAGTTTTAATAAATGACTTCTATTGAATAAAATTAGCACTGCTGTCTTATTTCAAGTGTGGTTTACTAGTATTGAGTATGTGTTCATTCAATCCATTTTTAGATTTTTTTGTTCTATGAAATGGCTTTTCATTTCTGACCTCTTACATACAAATATATATGGCAAGTGCTCTGTTTAAGGCAAGAATGACACTTCCAATACACACATATGCATAACTACATATATTGTTATGTAGAACAGATAAATGCATTTTCATTCGGCCACATCACACACCGTCAAGTGACCATTCTCATGGTGACACACCCTCTGAGGGGCACCGGGCAGGGTATGGCATCGTCCACCTCAATGCACGTGTCTATGTAAGGGTCCATCAGAACCATGTTGGGGAATGCTTTATTGCTCTTCTTCTCACTGACCAGGTATATCTGGCTGTTGACTGTTGTGCAGCCAGAGAAGAACTTCCTGTCCAGACATTCCTCCTCCTCCAGCACAGTCCACTCATCTGTTTCCACGTCAAAACGCAAGCCTTGGCCTCCAAAGAAGTAGAGGGCGCCGTTGAGCTCCGTGGCAACCAGGTCATATCTGTGAAAAGGGTTAACAAAGCTAAAGCAAAAACACTAAAATATACTAATGAAGAAATGTCTGATTGACATTGGCAAAAAGCAAAGCAGAAGATTGACACTCACCGTGGAAATGGAGAATAAGAGACCACATCCCACTGATCCTCCTTCACCATATATCTCTGAATTCCACCATACGCCTCCCCATTTTCATCCAAGCCACACGCCACGTAGATACATGACCCCAGAGCGGCAGTGGCTGCCCTCTCCACAGCCCTAACCATGGGGCTGACCACTTCCCAGCCCTCCTCTGACCCTAGGACCAGCCTTTCTACATCATCCACAAGCCCTTCATCCATGCTACCCCCCAAGACATACAGTACTGAGTCCAGCCCTATGGAGCAGTGGCTGTGCCTAGATTTCTGCAGGGCCGGTCCGTCCACCCAGCGCTGGTTCCCACATTCGTATGTCCTGACCCAATCCACACTGAACCACAGCACGTCCCGGAAGTGGCCACCTGTCACAACCACATTGTCTCCTGCATAATGAGAGAATCCGAAAATGATGATAGTAAATACATGATCATTCTAATGGTTAATATACGTATGTGGTATTATTTTGCATTTACATCTTCCAATGAAGAATAAATACACATTCAGCCTATCACTCATCATCAGTTTCATCCTCATCTCATGATTCAACCATTACCTACTGCAGCTACCGAGTACTGTGTGAGGTTCTTCCTCCGCAGAGGTGCACAACTCTGCCATCTACCACTGAGCGGGTGAAACTGGTACAGTGCCTGTTGCTCCTGATCATGAGGGCCACCCAGGACAAAGAGGGTCTCTCTGGCCCTGGTTCTCTTCAGTGACCTCCCCACTGACCAAGATGCCGGGAAATGTTCATTAAGCATGTAAATGAGCTTTGCTCTGGGGTCAGAGCTTTTCATTTTGGTCAAAAGTTCAGTGATAAATGGTAAAGAGAGCGACTCAGGCCTCACCAGTTCAATGAGCTCCAGAAAATGTTCTTCTCGTTTTGGGTCAAATGACACCCAACGCAGGGTGGCCTCCAGGGCAAAATCATCTTTATGGATGGCCAGGTCATCACTGGCAAGAAGATCTGCTATCGCCTCCTTAGACAAAGACAGGAAGTCCTCTTCAGCGGCAATAGCAGAGAAGTGTGTGAGCACCACCTGTCGTGCCGCCTTGTAGAGCTGAGTGCAACCCAGCCGCCAGGCATAGGCCATCATTCCCAGACAGTTACTGAGGTGCAGCTCACGCTCCAGGAACTTGCAGCACAGCAGCCTGGCTTGCTCCAGTTGTAAAAAGTCTGCAGTCTCAAAGATCCCTAGAACATTTTCTCTGTCCAAAGCAAGGTTTGATGTCCTGCTGTATTCCATCAAAACCCTGAAATGCTGCAGGCCCACACCTTTGATCTCAATCCTCTTTTTGGTGCTCTCTATACCACAGCCAAAAAACAGAGCCCTGAAGTAGGGACTCTGGAGGGCCAGTTGCTGACGGTTGACATAAAAATCCTCTCCTTCTACCCGTAGAGTAGTATCAGGGATTACATCAGGCTCTTTCATATGTAAAGCAGAGTCATCCTCCTCAAGTTGGTTTATCTGTTCAGAAAGAACTGTGAATTTAAAGCTTTCAGGTTTAAGCTCAGCGTCAGCTCTGCAGGCCATGTCACAAGAAACAGACACACCAGCCGTCTTCTGCATAGTGCCTCGTCCTCGTTCTGGTTTACAACAGACCAGCTGGCGATATTAATAGACTTTCCTGACTGACTGACTGCCTGCCGGCTAAACACAACAAGAAAAGGAGGTCAAAACAGAAGCAAATTATAACACAGCGAGGACGGGGAGTAATAACTTAACATTGGGTGTTTGCTTATTAGACTCTGAACATTTTCCCCAGTCAGTAAATTAACAATAGAGTCAACAAACTATTAAACAACAAACCCATGACGTCACATTCAGGCGCTCAACGATTTGATTGGTGGAACGTTTCTGAGGTCAGAGTTTAACTTCCGTGTCACACGGCTAACATGGCGGTGAGTTCGTTTGGTTTTCGCTTTCATTCAAATATCTGATTACCTTTGCATCCACAAACACTCTCGGGGATGTCTTTAGTTGGTGTAGTTTTTAAATCCGAACATGTCCTGAAATGTAGAAGAACTACTCGAAAGCAACACGCGGTGTTATTCTTACATTTGCTAACTTGGCTAGCCGGGCAAAGCTAACCTCGGGCTAAGTTAGTGTGTGTGTGTTACCAACAATGTCCCTTTGCTCTATGTAGGATAAAGAAAAGAAGAAAAAGGAGAGCATCTTCGACTTGTCAAAATACATCGACAAGCCGATTCGTGTGAAGTTTCAAGGAGGACGAGAGGGTAGGTGGATTGGGCTAATGCTAACCACGTTAGCCAGTGGAAACGGTGAATGAACACTGAGTGAATCCGGAGTAATGAGAGCTGTACACTGTGTATTTCCCTCTCAGCCAGCGGTGTCCTGAAGGGTTTCGATCCTCTCTTGAACCTGGTGCTGGACGGCACAATCGAGTATATGCGAGGTAAGTTGAATATTAGTTAAATATTAGTTAAATATTAGTTAAATGAAGAAACATTGTAATAGGAAATGTCATTATGTGCAACATGACATAAATATGTTATTGGGCAAATGACCCAACCTTAAGATTCACCTAAACTAGTAATCTCTGTAACACTAATCCGTAAACTGTCAGGAAGCTAAATTAAACCCTAATTCCAACAAATGAGAGCAACATTAAATTAAACACTACTTCAAAGGGCAAACAGACACCAGTAACTCCAACTGTGAGTCTAAACTATGGAGTAATCAGTGAATGGCAGCAATATGCCATTGCTGTGTCTAGTCTGCCAAACAAAAGTGGAAGAAGCATTTAAATTGGGACCCATCACACATAAAAGTATTGCTCCATAGCGCCACTAGTGGTGGAAGAACTCCACAGGGAACCTTTTTAATAAGAACAGGTTCATATGTATCTTTAACTCTTGTCTATCCAGATCCAGATGACCAACTGAAGCTGACAGAAGACACCCGGCAGCTGGGGCTGGTGGTCTGCAGAGGAACCTCCGTAGTGCTCATCTGTCCTCAGGACGGCATGGAGGCTATACCAAACCCGTTCATACAGCAGCAGGATGGCTAACGCTGTCGTCACACAAACACACAATTACAACCATGCACACACACTTTTGTGGGTTTTTTTTTTGTTGTTTTATTTTTAAAACATAACAGTAATAATGTGTATGACAAAACAAATTTCTGTTGTTGAAAATCATAAGTTGATCAGCAAAAGGACACTTGAAAGCACTTCACTTTTGTTTCTGTCTGTGATGTGCAAGTTTGCAAAGATTTGAGTTGTCAAGAGCCCACAAGTTTGGGAAATGTTAACAGTACCATTTTCTTTTTATCCAGAATTAGTCAACTTTTTACTATTCTTTGTTGTTTTTGATAAGAAAATAAAATGAAAATGTATATAGAGTGTTGTCAGTTTTGTTCTCCCTTGTTCATGTGTGTGTTGGATATATGGATGGAGAACTGTATAGACTACATTCAGAGAACCTTAAAGGTTGCAGCAATTTAATGAACACTGAACAGTGAGCTGCTGTTTTCTGTGTGGTTCTCCAGCCTTTTCCAGTAGGGTTTATATCCAATTCAGCTGTCTGTTACTTGTGGTCTGGCTATAGCTCAGTGCCACTGCTGTCTAATTCGACCATAGAAATAAAGTCTTGTTTCATGAAGGCCAAAATAACTAAAATAACAAAATAGCTACAGCTAATTTACACCTGCACTCCTTTAATAATCACAGAAGCTAATAGTTTCATATATATTTTATAACACCGGCCAAATAGTTCAGATCACTTGATGGACTTCTTAACCATTTAATGGTAGTCTTTGGACAAGCCGCTGGATTGGCTACAGCTCAAGTAACAAGTATTTCATTGTGATCTTTCAAAGTGTTTAAATGGTGTGTCTGTGTGTGTGAAGATAAGCCATTCGAGCCTGCTCACGCTGACAAAGAGACATTTGTGGTCATAACTGCATTGAGTTGAAAGTGCTTTAAGCAGGGTGGGGGAATAATGTAAGTAGACTGATTTACCTTTGTTAGGATTGTTCATTTAGGGTGGCTGGCAGGAGGGATTTATGTTGTCCATTACCTCAAAAAAATGGAAAGTAAATGGATCAAATTTTCATAAAATGGACTGTAAAACACTAAATATTAACTTGTAATACTAATACTAATTCAGTATTTTTCTTGTCAACAGTACACCCTTAACTGGGCTCCAACATTCACTCAACATATTGGATGTGACTGTAAAACATTCTTTGATAGTATCACAGAATTGTGAATAAAATACTCCCTAATGGAGTTTAATCTACTTCCACTCTCACTGTCAACCTAAGTGCAGTAGGTTAATGAAGTCCCAGTAAAGGCACCTTAACTGATTAGAGAGGCTGTAATCCTGGTAAAAGAACCCACCATGGTTTGCCAGGTGTTGTGAGCCCTGGACATGCAGCCAGAAGTGAAAAGGCAGAATTCCAGGAGGCTTCGCCCCTCCTCTGCTGCTCAGTCACTGTGTCAATGGAGCAGAGGCAGGCTGCAACTAGAGGGAGTACTGGGCTCCACTGAACACTTTTTTTAATGTCCAATCTTTTTCAGGCATTACTTTTCTCAAACTTTCTGTAACGTAAAGGAAATGTTAATTATTTACCTGGAGATTATGGGAACTCTGAGGTGACAGTAGAAAGGCCTGTGCACACCGGGGTGTAACCAAAGGGATCAAGACCGATGGGAGGAGGGTCGGCCGGGGATTTCTGAAGCTGAGCCGACTTCTACTAAAGTAAACTGAAAAGGTGAGCTACCTGCGGGACGGACACGACACGCCCCCTTGGCAGGTGGAACAAATAGCGGACCTCTCGGTCCTGTCCCTTGTCTTCCTCCATGCATGTATCTATTCATGTGTGTGCCAAGCCATGCACTGAGAACTGCGGGATATCGTGAATGTCAGTGTTCAGAGGAATGAGAGAAGAAAAAGGTGAGTGAGTTTACTTCAGAACATAAAGCCTGTATTGTTTAATGGTCCTCACTGGAGGCACCGTGCGTAATTTGCCTGTGCAGAGAATAATGGATTTCCTCGTGGATTCAATGTATTCATTGAAAACCTGTTATCCGTAGAACTTTAGGGAAGTTAACTTGTTTTTAGTGTGACCTTTTTCCACGTCTGATTTGTGATCGCCAGGTAACATGGCCTCCGTGATCTCTTTTACGCACACCCGTACAATCTCAGCCAGCTCTCCCGAGCAGAATTACTGCTTGATGTTTCTGTCCTAACGAGTTTACAATCCTCACGTCTCTGTGTGTGTGTATTATTTTCTTATATGGGCATCTGTATCTAGAGTTTACATTTAACAACGTGTCTCCCTGGTTAGCTACATTTCCTAAGTGGGAAACCTTATTTCTTAATTGTTTGTAACATATTTATTGTTGTTGAAGGTTGTTTGTGTGAATGACAAAACAATAACGACTATTCAGTATTAATTGAATATATGAACACACATTTTGTTATCGTGTTAAGTCTCAAGCTACTTGTAAATAAAAAAATAAAAAAAACTTAATTATTTTAAGTTGTTGGTTCACATGTGTCTGATATAAAGCAAAGGGGAACATAATATTCATATTGGGATGTACGGCCAATATAAATCAGATTATTGACATGGATGTTGTTGTCCAGTCCTACCTATATATATTATCTGTTATTACAGTCTTCTCCACTAGGTCCTACTTATTACAGTTAATGACAGAACAGCTGTTACTGTATTTCTACCAGGATTGGATCATTTTGTCTGTCGGGCATTATGATACTGGGTACAGTGGAATGTGACTTGTGAGGTCGTGCTGTGAATCCAACATGGAGTTGAAAAAGGATGGAGGAGGAGGAGGAGGGTCGTGGTCTTCTTCAGGAGCATCTTCTGCCCCTTCCAACCCTGCCTGCTATAGGAGCATCCTCATAGCCTTCTTCCTTATCTTCCTTGTTATCGGGGTCTTTGTAGGCCTGCTTATTGGTGAGTCTGTAGACAGTATTCATACTACTCTGTGAAACACAATTCCTAAACGTATTCTTTGAAGGATGAACCATTTCTCCTCTGTTGTTACCAGCCTACCTGGTTCAGGAGCAGCATTATTTCATGGAGACAGTGGAACTGAAAGGTCTGAAGTATGATCCTGTTCTGCAGGATGAGGACTCTGGTTTCTCCATAGTACTATCCTCTGTTTTAAAGTCCAAGGTCAGTCCAGATTGTCACTATGTTGAGAGCCCAACATTTCCATTAAAAAGTGTTAAATTGTACATTTTACTTTTTTTCCCCCCAGATTAAAAATGTCTTCACTGCCTCATCAATATCACATCACTACGTTGATTGCAGTATTGTTGCCTATGGGTAAGTGAAAGCTGAACGGAGGTAGATAATTCACTCCAAGCAACAAACTACATTGACTGTTTTCCTGCTTTCCCAGTAACATTAATGGTGACGTGATGGCAACGTTCAGACTGGTCCTCAGGGTGTCCAAGGTCCAGCAGTATTCAGACAACCTTGTTCAGGACTTGCTGAGAGCAGGGCTCAGATCAGCAATGCAGGATAAACCACTAGAGGTGCCAGAATTTGGAGAGATCAACACTATCATCTTACTGGGTAGTGAAACTATACTGTCATCAGTCGACTGTCTGTGGCCCTACAAGTGGATGTGTGTCGTGGGAGTGACGAAAATAGGCCACAGATGTGCAATGCATTGTCTCAGGGACTTCCACAGTTCTCACAGGACCTATGTGTTTCTGTCTCCTCATTCTTAGGAGCCAGTGGGAAGTCATTTTATGCTATTGGAGATGAGATGATAGGTGAGTGAATATGTTGTGTGCCTAATAATAATCCTTCAGCATATGTTTACACCTTTGTGGAATACCAAATGGGTGGTGTTTTTAAAATCAGGGCAGATAGTATGACTTGTTAATCACAGAAAATTTATATATTTTTTTGTGACTCTTTTTAAAATATATATAGTTTAAATAACAGGTTTTACTTGCTATGCTCTTATGTACATTGGAAGAGTTTTTGATCTTTGTCATCGTTCCTGTTGTCCATGAAGAGATCCCTTCATTACGCAATACCAATGTTTGAGGTAGAACAAAATCCTCATTCTGTGCAAAAACGCATTCTGAAGTTTATCTGAAGCTAATATGAGCCTGCAGAAGAAAGCAGGGGCACAAAAAAGGAAATTTGTGCTAATGAATAAAGATACCCACTTGATTTGACTAATTCAGACTGCAAAATGCTTTTTTTTGTTTTACACTCACTCACTTGTTTTACACAGATTACATACAGGTTGTGGGAGGGGGTTGGGTGGGTCATTGTTGTTTATTTCCCTGCAACTGCTGCAAAATTTGAATAAAAATATATTTTAAAAAACAGGAAAGGATCTCTTCAAGCAGAATGAACATTGACCTCTTGTAATGCACATATGGGTACATGGTTATTGTTTTAAGACAGAAATGTGCAAAGAAGTGAATCCATCCATTAAAGTCCTGTAATATTAATTGACTTGCTCTAAAGAACAGCCATCTTTCTTGCACCTATAGTAAATACCTTTACATGAAAACAATTGACACTATAAAGACATATTGCATATATTGTTTGTTTCGGATCTGGTGTTTCCTCTCAAAAGATTGTTTTAATTCTTTACCAGCTGTAAGTGTACATATTGTACCTTTCTTTGTGACTCTCATCCTTTTTTATATGATCTGGTCTCTCCAGCCAGGTGTCCTGACAACACCTTCACTTGTGACAATGGAGAATGTGTCACTAAATTGAACCCAGAGTGTGATTTCATCCCCGACTGTGCAGACGGATCTGATGAATCTCGTTGTGGTGAAACTACAAATTTTACTACAGTCCCTTTAAGCCTAATTATTCAATTTTCTTTTTCAGTTGTTGTTGGTAAAAAACATGCCCGTTACCACAAAAAGAATATACTGGCACTGACTATATATTGTAATATTATATTGTAAATGTGAGGTTACTGACATACCTTTACGGAAAAACCATCACTGCTTCATCTTCACCTCGACCACATGCTGTGACTTTTCCCCCCAGCCTGTGGTACTCGTCCTGCTATGGGGAGTCGGGTGGTGGGTGGCGAGGATGCTCGGGAAGGTGAGCTGCCATGGCAGGTTAGTCTGAGGCTCCACGGACGTCACACCTGTGGAGCCTCCATAATCAGCGAACGCTGGCTGGTCAGTGCAGCGCACTGCTTTGAGAGGTAGGCAGCAACATCATTCAAAAATTAAGAGACAGGTTTATGAGTTTATTCATTAAATCTTTGTAACTGTAAATTGTGTTAAGTGACTTGCATGTATATTTTGTATATTATATATTGTATATTTATATATCACTTTGTTTTCTGTTACAGGGACAAGGACCCCAAAGAGTGGACGGCCATGGTAGGAGCCACACTAGTGAGCGGTGAGGAGACCGAGTCCAAAACCATTAACATCAAGTCACTGGTTGTGTCTCCATACTACAACCCCATGACCACTGACAACGATGTTACTGTGCTGGAGCTGGAGACCCCTCTCACCTTCAGCTCTTACATCCAGCCTGTCTGCCTTCCCTCCCCGTCTCATGTCTTTGCCCCCGGACACAGCTGTGTGGTGTCAGGGTGGGGAGCTCTAAACCAGTTTAATAGTGAGTCTGCCTCCAGCAGTACAGCTCAGCACATCAACATATGAGGAATCTAAAGAGAGAAGGAGTTGATTATTTTTTGTTTGATACCCAATACTGTAAAGTCAATAGTGTGTCTGCTTTTAGCGTTCAGATGATATTTTCCTGTAAGATAATAATAAGAAATAAATAATTTATGATTTATAATCGTAAACTAATTTAGTCATCCTGCGCTCTTCTGTCGCTCAGATGATGTGCCTCCCACACTGCAGAAGGCGGTGGTGAAAATCATCGACTCCAAGGTGTGCAATAAATCGTCTGTGTACAGAGGTGCTGTTACTTCCAACATGATGTGTGCTGGATTCCTGCAGGGCAAGGTGGACTCGTGTCAGGTTAGCACTGTTTCACTTGGTTCACATAAAGGTGGCTACAATAGCACAATAGCTATCAACTTACATTTTGCTACAATACTTTAACGTCTCAGGGCGGGGAGTTTGCGTCCATACACTGATGATCTGGTCGTCCTTTTCTCTCTTGAAAAGTAGGAATAAAACTGTATGTTAACATGGCCTATGGGCTGTTGCTGTTATTTTCATCTCAGTATAACATGATGTAATATTACAGTAAGAAAAACATGCCATTCCTCCCCAGTAAAGGCTCAGTCCAGTCTCCCACTGCAGCTCAATCAGTTTAATGCACCTAAACACATTTCAGATTCAGCTCGTAACCCATTATATGGCAAAACAATCCAAAGTATAAATAATTGATATACTGCATTCTGACAATAAATACCCGGCAGAGCAACCCTGAAGTGCTCCCATCCTAGTCAACCAACATGACCTGACACTGAACTGTACACCGAAATTACACTAACAGGGTTTTCATGTGGCAGCAGCACTGTGCTGAGCAACAGCATTTACATCAGAGAATCAGAGGTCTTGTGTTGTCCCTGCAGGGTGACTCTGGAGGGCCTCTGGTGTGTGAGGGAGCCCCTGGTAGGTTCTTCCTGGCTGGGGTGGTGAGTTGGGGTGTGGGCTGTGCTCAGATCAACAGGCCTGGGGTTTATTCCCGCGTCACCAGGCTCCGCAACTGGATTCTCAGCCACACAGATCCCAGCTTGGTCCAAGATTACTCCCAGTATGTTCCTACTGTGCCAGTTTCTGTGACAGAAGGAGGCTTTAATCACCCGCCAGTACCCAGGACCGTAGCCATGGATGTGTCATCTGCACCAACACTACCTGGTACAGCTTAATTTTATTAGAGAGCAGTCATAAATATAGAATAAGAAATATTTGAACTAAATTATTATTTAGACTCATGCCACATGATCTGTCCATCATGTCTCCCAGTCTTGAACTGCAGTGGAAACTTCCAGTGTAGCGCCACCTCCTGCATCAGCAAGGTCAACCCGGAGTGCGACAGAGTCCCAGACTGCCCCAACCAAACCGACGAACTAAACTGTGGTAAGTTTACATCATACTGTACCATGGTTTGCATGTGTAAAGGAGTGCACGTACAGGGTTTAATGGAAATGTATCTGATGCGGGGGTTTTTCTTCCAGACTGTGGCGTACGTCCTGCATTGGGCTCCCAGAGGATCGTGGGTGGAGTAACAGCTCGAAGGGGGGAGTGGCCTTGGATTGGCAGTCTCCAGTACCAGAGACTTCACCGTTGTGGCGCCACACTCATTCACAGCAAATGGTTACTCACAGCAGCACACTGCTTCAAAAGGTACTGTGTGTGTTTAGATACTACATGCCTTAGCACAGCAGCACATTAAAACCTTGAAGCGTGACTTCTTTCCAATAAAATTAGTTAATATCAAAAATACCTCTTCCATTGCATCCAGAATGGTACTGAGCCTGTTATAACACAGCCTTCATCTATAACCTCTTAGTGACCAGAGCCCCACTAACTGGGCTGTGAGCCTGGGAACTGTGCTGCGCTCTGGAGTGGGAGCCCTGGTCATCCCTATCCAGAGGGTCATCATCCACCCAGCCTTCAATGGCACCAACATGGACCATGACGTGGCTCTGTTAGAGCTGGCAGTCCCAGCCCCCATGTCCTACACCATCCAGTCTGTCTGTCTCCCCTCACCAGTGCACCGCTTCCTGAAGAATGCAGAGTGCTACATCACAGGCTGGGGATCCATGAGGGAAGGAGGTGAGAGATTTAAAATCCCTCTGACTTTGGGCACAGCTTTCCAGAAAGCACTGTACAATTGCACAATGATATTAACATGTTACAATAAAGTAAAGCAGTAAAGTAAATTAATTTTAAAGAGCAAAAGCTTCCATATTATTATGCTCCTAAAGACTCAGGACTTTTCTTAAAGCATCATAAGGAATTTTGTACTGAGGTAAACTCTTACAGCTCCATTATGACATATATCTTACAATATAATATGAATCACTATCAAATGGCCTCTTCACTCAAATTACAAAAAGCATGCAGTATTTATCTTTCATCTGCTGAGGTTGTATGAATGTAATTTAGTCTGTAGTGTTCGCAGCAGTAAAAGAAATGCATTGTGCAGTGTCTTATAGCTGACCTGGTAGAGCTGGCGCCCCATGCACTGAGGCTGAGTCTGTCAGCTGCAGCGGCAATGGGCTTTAATCCAACCTGTGGCCCTTTTTCCTGTCAATCTTCAGCAATCCTATCCAATAAATTACATTGCATAACCCACTAATATACTTATTGTTCTTCGGCACAGGTTCATTGACCAACCTGCTGCAGAAAGCTGCAGTGAACACCATTGACCAGGCAGACTGCCAGCAGTCATATGGAAATGTGCTGACTCCTAACATGATGTGTGCTGGTTACATGGAGGGAGGCAGGGACACCTGTTTGGTAAGATGCAGGGGGACTTCATACTATGTGACACAAATACCTTTTACACAGCCTGGAAGTGGGCCAGACGTCTGTGTGGTACGATCTTGGCAGCATCTGAGCGGTAAGATTTTGGAACAGAGTTAGAACAAGTGAACAGAGGCTCAGGGAAATAGGGCCATGGCTCCGATTTTACAGTGGATGGTTAACCAGGTCAGAACAATGTAAATCTTGCCCTTTACTCTTTTTCTAGGACTTGTGCTCGGTAAAAAGTAAAATCTGGTTGGTTTGAAAATACTTGTCGGATATTCTAATTATGGTACAAACATGATGGAGAGAACCAAGTGTTGCTTGTTAAGGAACATTGCAGCACTTATGTGAGAGATGCTTATCTGAGAGATGCTTATCTGGTGGGAGAGAGTAGACTTTCTTTCCTACAAATACAGAGTCCCCCTTTTCACCCGTTCCCTCCCTGTAATCTTCTTATGTAAGGAAACCCACATGCATTCCTGTCTCGGTCAAAGCACCTGGCATCTCAGCAGCGATCCAAGTGACATTCTCTTTGTACCTGCTGCGTCTTACTTATTCTTCTGCTTCCTTACTCATCGTTAATCAATTGTTTTATTCACCTTTACGTACTGGAGACCTTAGAGCATTGAGGTTATTTTAATTTCTAACAAATCATTAAAAGCCACTCTTCGTTCTTTCTCTCCTCTGTCGTCCAGGGAGACTCTGGAGGGCCGCTGACCTGCCGTCAGCCCTCTGGCCAGTGGTTTATTGCTGGAGTGACCAGCTGGGGACACGGTTGTGGGCGAATTGGTTTTCCGGGGGTTTACACTCGTGTGACATCCATCAGGAAATGGATATCTACGCACCTGCCTTTCTGAAGAGGCAAAAAAATGGGAAATTAAGAAGCTGCAAACTACATGGACACTGGATTTTCCTCAACATCTTCTCCATACAAGTGTACTGTACAGGGACTAAAGTCATGCTAAAAGTCACACACATACTCACACATAGTTTCCACAGTATTGACCTGTGTGACTAACTGGTCATGGGTGCTGTTTGTAATACTGTGCAATCATCTGAACTGGGACCAACCTCTTTCATAATGTACTGAAGATGCAAGAATACTGAACTGTGGTTTATGGACATTCTGCTAGCACATGCATGATTGAAAGTATTTATTTCAGTTATTTATTTTCCTGACTGGTAAACTTACTGTACATGGTGTTGTTTTTTTCCATTTTGTGTGGGGCACAATATATGTGGTTCATTTATGGGTACATTTTCTTGTCTTTTTTTTGTATCTATTCTTAAAAAAAAATAAGACAAAGATTCAATGTAATAATTGTTGCTGGAAGCTGGGTTTTCTGGGGAAAATACAGTTCTGCATGAAAAAGTGGTATTGCAATCAACTTTAAAGGAATTTACCTTTTGATTGATAAAGGCAACTCCTGGTGATGTTTCATTGATAAGAACTCTTTGATGAGAAACACAAGACCCTGATTGACAAGATTTATTGATCAAATCATTCCATTCGCTCACAATCACACCCCAAAGAATGTTCACAGGCTTTACTGGCTCTTACATCCTTACATAAACTCAACAGGAAAGGGGGAAAAAAAGGATTGTGGTTCCCAGACATTTGACAAACCGTGCACACAAAGCTGAGAAAGGTTCAGTACCCCGTTTACAGCGAGGCAGACCCTGCTGAAACAAGCCCACTACTGTGGAGGGTGGCAGATAGAGTGACAACTAGAAAACAGGTCAGACAAAACAGTTTTGTTCTCCAGGCGTACTTTGATATAGGACTGTTTGGAGGCTTGTGAATGTCAGGTTCACGGTTGTGAAAACACAAAGTTGCTCCTCAAGTCTTCCTGGTGATTTTTAAGTAGGTCTTTTAGAGTAAAAGCGTGTTAAGGAAAGCCTGGTTGTCCCTTAAGGGCTCCAGTTGTGCTGCTTATTTTCTAAAAGGACAAATATTTAGTCTCTCTCTGCACAGATGCACAATGAAATGAATGGGCAACAAGCATGGGGCACACTGCAGACTGTGTTTAAGGAGCAATTGTAGTGACTGGGAGACTTGAGTCTTGTTTACAGTAATTGGTATCATGTGTCCTAATTAAACAGCTTCTTGAACACAAGAAACATTCAGCCTTAGTTTGATGGCAGGAAGGTGTCTGCAGTAAACACACACTGTTACACATGCTCCAAAAAACAAAGGCCACAGTGCTGCAGTTGACTAATTTAAGATTGCCACATTGCATCAGTACATTGAGGGGACTGCAACATATCCCGGCATGCACTGCACAAGACATTGGGTCCGCCCCAGTGAAGATCGGCAGAGGCTAGCACATGCATACAAACACCCTCACTCTTTTATGTTCACTGCAACACGCAAATTTATGAGTTTCCAATTCTCCTGACTGGCATGTGTTTGGACATGCAGGTCCAAAATGGCAGCTTTCTACAATTCATGTTTACTTGTTAACCAGGTTATTTATTATTTATAACATAAAAACACAAATAATCAAATGTTGTTACTGAACTGTTCGTCAGAGCGAAATTATAATGTCCACAGAGACATTCTTATGGCTAGAGTCCACAGGCTCTGCTCGGCCTGTCTGTGAGGTATTATGACAGAAGTTGATGGTGTGCTGCTGCTGCTGCTGACACACCTGTACACACCTGTGCACAGCTCTTGGCTTCCAGGGGTACACTGTGTTCTTCCTCACTAAACAGCAGCCTGAGGAAGGGAAGGGAATGGGAAGGGTGAAGAGAGGGATGTTCACATGCGAGCTCTTTCCCTCTGTAATCTGGAGTTGTATGTTCGGGACACGGTGTTCCAGGCATCCATATAGCGGTCCATACACATGGCAATACATTTCTGTGAGCACAAAAGCAGTGACGTTAACACTCTGAAGACATAATCCTGAAATTGTGTGACAAGATCTTTTTTTTAGGCTGAATCAAACAATTATTTTCATTATAAATTACTCTGCCGCATTATTTTAATGATTAATCTTCTATAACATATCAAAAGAATTGTAAGAAATGCTCATTTAATTTCCCCAGAACTTAAATTGACATAATGAAATTGCTTATTTTGTCTGATTAACAGTCTAAACCCTTAAAGACATTGCTTTCACCATCACATCGATCATAGAAAATCTGCAAATCTGGACTTGATTTACTTAAAATATTACTTACACAACTAATACACAATCAGTTTTTACAGATTGGTTTAAACTCTTTTTGCATCTGACAGCAAACTTTCTGATTATCATCATTATAACACATACCTGCTCGGAGTTATCCAGCGTGCTTCCTGGTTTACCTATGCACTTCTTGAAGCATTTGTCTGTCATTCTCTGAAACATGAAGATATAGTTATATTTACATGTGCAGTACAGTACAGCTTATTACCGATAGTAACAACAGTGGTTCATCCAACATCATCCGGTGAGCTGCTTAGATTTGAACAGCCTCTCAATGACTTCTACTGTTTCTATGAGTCGTTTCTCATTAATGTGGAAACATATTAATGTCAATATCTCTATCTAACATTACGACAGGATTAATAAAGGTGCCCATGCCATCCCATATAAACTGTATTATACCTAACATGACTCTTCAACGCACTACAGTTCTATTCTTGCTATCTTAGCAGCTGTTGTCCATTGATTTACCTGCAGCAGCTCCTGTGCGTTAGCCACCGCGATCTGGACCTTGACTTGCTCCATGATCGTGCCGGTGTCCATTTTACCGCCCGACCCACCGGCTGAGAAGTCTGAACCGAACCCGTCCATTTCTACCGGAGTCGTTACCCTAAACGGGAGCTGTATCGATCTTTATCAAGTGCACGTGCGGACAGCTACTGCTAGCTTTGGCTAACGTAAGTTTTCAGATGCCCTTGACAGTGGCGGAACACTGCGTGCGTCACTTCCGTGTAGGAGACGCCAACATGGGAAATGTAGTTCTTTAAGTGAGCGGACCGGATACAGTTACAGGGCAATAAATACACCGCTGCCAAAAAAGACTGTCTGCGTGATATATTTAAACTCGTGTATGTTTATAATACTCAGGAGCCACACAGACGGCTTGTCAGCATACAGGCACCCGCACCACACCACGACACAACGACGCACGTGAGCGCACGCACGCGTGTTTGCCACGTGGTGGAGGTATACTCCACTGAATCACTCCAGTCTGACTCTTTAATAGAGAGACTCAGACTCCAGACCTTGGCAAGCATGCTACCAACAGATACCTGTAACTATTGACATTGATTTTCTTTACATATGATTAAATGGTTTAATGCACACGTGTAGATTTAATACAATACCATTAATTGATTAGTGATTGATAGAGCACTGATTGCAGCAGTACAGCATATTCAGGGTGTTGCATTGTAGAAGATCAAGGGTTATGAGGGGCCAGTTTAGGACAATCAAAAAATATACGTGCTTTTATTTTGTTTAGTTTTTTAATGTTTTATATGATAAGATCAATACATACATGATGGGGTGTAATTGCCATCTATTTGCTAAGTATCATACTAACCATTTATCTCACTCTGGTCTTCCTCAGCAGGCTGAATTGGAAAAGAAATTCCATTAAAAAAAGTCCACAGTATGATTTTAATCTGTATACTTCATATTCTCTTTTAACGTTGCATTTATGTTCAGTCTGGTAGTTATTGTAAGATTGTTCTACCCAGTTGCCTGCGTAAATGGAAAAATAAGTTACAATTTTCATTAAAACTAAGCTTGTCAACTTGTTTTGGATAACTATGTGGAAAGCAGGAGCCAACCACATAAATAGAAAGTCATAAGAACCTCTGCATTGTTTGGTGTTGAGGCCTGGGTATGAGGATGGCCCCCCTGCGAAGACCCCTCTCCTTATGTTTCAGACAGGATGACCTCACTGAGAAGACCACCTGCCTTGAGTGAACAAATATGAGGTACAGTGAGTCTGCAGGCAACAATGGAGTGACGGTTACTGTCATCTAAACAGACACTGTGAGTGGCTTGCTGCGATGCTGGGGGCATTGAGGAATAATTGTGGGGGGTCTGATTAGTGGCGTGCCTGCCTAAGAGTAATTAATGACCAGTTACACAATGTTTTCACCCTTTGCACATGCAAACGCACACACATATGCATAAATCTGCAGATTTTGGCTCAAAGCCACTGGGCTGAATGGGGGCAGGGAGGGTTGGGTTAAAGTGCAGCAAAATGAATTAACCCTAGATTACAATCATGAGTTCATTAATCTAATCTGCTTAAATTCTTAATCTCCTTTAGGCACACTTGTGTGTATGAAAGCATTTGGCCCAGTCAGTTACAACAAGGGAGGCTTCAATAAGCACTGGCAACAATGGTTATGAGAATGTGAATTACCCATGAGTGTGTTTCTGGTGTCAGACTTTGAGGTTTCACAAGACTGTTTAATGGTTTCTTCAGGGCTTTCAAGTATAGGGGAAAAAAAGATGTTGGTGATTTGAGGTATTGTGAGGAAACAATAGGAAATAGTGGATAAAAGAAAAGCTGACTGAAAAACACACATGCTCACATACACACAAACTCAGACAGTCGAGACACTGCAGCAGCTTTTAATCTTCAAAAGCAGCTGCTGAGTGACAGTAAGAAGGAGTGAGAGACAGAGAGAGAAAAGGGAGGGAGGAGAAACCTGAGCAGTGTGGCATCGACTCTGGTGGTGCTGTTTATGGTGTTGGAGATCAGTCAGTGCTGTGCACCGGCAGTCTCTACCAGTCAGTCAGTTCTGAGTGACAGAAATCTCTTTTGTTTGAATCAAAATTAGACGTCAAATAGTCAAAATCACCACTGATCCTGTTTCAAGTATATCTGCAGTATTCAAATTTTCATTTGTGGCTCTCATTATTTCTTCTTTGTTGATTTCCTGGGAGCTCTTTTCACAGCATATTTCAACTTGTTAAAGCATGAAAAGCACAGGTGCAACTATAAACATTAACAATGTCTCTGTTTTACTGAAGTGTCCCAAGTTAGGCAAAGAGCCAGAATGCACAATAGCAGGGCACTGGCACACCTAAATGGAATGAAGCCATTATTAATGTCATTAATTACACCTGCAGACATGTCGGGACATACCCCAATAAAGAATCTCCTACAGAGACGACTTCATTCCTGAATCTGTTTTGTATTTCATGAAATTCTACAACTATATCTTTATCTGGATGCTACTACACAAACATTCCCAAACATGAAGTTCCTTGTACACAGGCAGGCTGACTTGGCTGATTCTTGACTGACCTCATTCTTGTCCTGATAGCTCACGAGTACTTAAATCCTTCAGAAAATGCCAGGAATTCAGCTGGAGAAACGATCTCATGGTTCTCAGAAGGACTTTAAACTGCCATCATATGATCATTAAGACTGTTGGATATGTGGAGCTGGCAGGGACTGTACAGGAGGTACGCAGCCAGGGGGCTCACAACCACCGAGGGCACTGAGGTCTCCTGTCAGAGGGTTATCTAATTTTCTTTCTTTTTAGCAACCTGAAGGAGTTTCCATTAGTCAAATACAGGGAGGGTATTTTAAAAGCTGATTCTTTTTTAGAGTGTGTTTAAATCTTACTACATTTAGGCAAACAACGTTTTATTCCTGGCACTGTGAAGAGGATTAGACCACACTGCATGTTTGACAATAAAACTGAACAGAAACTGAATACATATAATTAAAATCATCCAAAATACAAAAATTCATATCTCTCAGTTCTTTTAAATCCAGGCTAAAAATACAGTTTTTGGCCACTGCATTTGTTGACATTCATTCATATCTCTCACTATACTGTATTTATACTCCTTTTTATCTTAGTTTTAGATGGTATTACCTTTTTCAAGCCTGTATATGTCTTGATATAGTTCATTTTTATTATTTTTTTTATAGTGCCTTGTACTTCTTTTATATCTCGCCTTAATGCCTTTGTAAATCTTACACAAATCCCTTTAAATACCTCGTTGTTGAAAGGTGCAAAATAAACCCGACACACTTAGAGATGCTCTTCTGTGAGCACGCAGGTGAAACCCACAGAAGCAGGTGTTTTTCAGTATTTCCTACTGACACTGGTAACTCACAATGGAGGTGCACTGACCCTAAAGTTGGATGCAGACAAACAGAAAAGCCTTTTGCTGTGGTGTTTTTGCCCATTGGACAATAGCAGGAGGAGTAGGAGGAGCCAGTGCGAACACTCCGGCTGCCTGTGTGCTCGCTCTCTGCGCTCCTCTGCTCGCTCTCCTGCAGGCTGCGTGGCTCCCACACAACAAAAACGGAGCTGCTAACTTTTCTGTATTGTTTTGGGGGGTTTTTTATATAACGCGTTTAAAACTCAAAGCTCGCGTCGCAGACAAATGGCTCAACCATTCCCCGACAGTTTAGGACACGGTACAGGTTTGACTTTAGGAGGCGGATTTGTCTAAATTTGTGGCCAGAACTTCAAACAAAAAAAAAATCAACGACGGAATAAGTGTAGCCGAGATAAAGGAATCCGGATCGGCTCTGTGGCTATCAAGGTAAGCATTGAGACGCATAATCCTCCTGAAGTAGCCTATGGATCACCGAGATAGGTGCTTGTTTGGGACATTTCCCCCAACTTCCGAAATGTGATGAGTGTAGTTCCACTGCTGTAACATGGGATCCTTTGATATTATGTGTGATTGTAGCAGGCTGGATGTTTGCAGGCTAACTTGGGAGGAAAGTTGAGCAGCGCATGCTGAAGTGCTGACCGTAGTTTCACATTTTACTGCACAAAACGAATTGGATTTCACGCTGAGTCCCTCCACGGAAGTCCACCGTCCTCCTTTCAGAGGGATTCAATAGCCGACTTAAATTTATCTGCTTTGAAACAATGGAGCCTTTAAAGCGGAAGATATTTATTTGGTCATTTTCAAGTTGTGGAGAGTCTTTATGAACCCACAGTGCCTTGCCATGGGTGTTACAAAATAAGTCATAAATAGGTGAAAATGTCCAAGCAAGTTATTACATAATTATATTAATTATGTAGTCAATAAAGTTAATCTTATTTTGAAATTCAGCAATCACCCCAGAATGCACTGGCTGCAGGATTGTCTGGATCCAGCTCAGATGATCAAAAGAGAGATTGGGGGTTTTTCATCTGTTGCTCAGTGGTTACATAATTTATCCTCCAGGAGCTGGTCTGAGGTGTCACATCTTCATGTGGGCTTCAAAGCTTTGCTTTTGGCACCTTCCTGTATGTGAGCCGGCGGAGGAGCAGAACAAGCTAACAGGAATTTCTTGGCTCTGGCGGTTTGCTGGAGGTGACTCACGGGCCTGAAATGTTTATAGGGGTGGAAAGATGTGATATTAGGACAACACACCCAGGTGTTGTTTCCCTGCCTTAAAGGCCAGTTAATGTAGCTCATTTGCTGTTGCAGGTTGTGTGGGTTGAGTCTTGATGCTGATATATGTGTTCTAGTGTAAATCTGTGTCACACAGTGTATACACACTGGGTTTTGTGTGGGAGTGCTTCTTATCTGATCTCCTTTCATCTCTATAAAGTCTGAAGTCCATTTCCGTTGTAACCCAGCACACTGATATGAGGATTTTATTTCTGAGTAGCCCATTCATCAGCTGTTGGCATAGCAAGTTTTGTTTAATCATAAAATGGGAGGAGAGTTTATGGTGGCGTTCACATCAAAAGGAGGGTTCACGACCTGAACATGTTTTTTACTCCTGTCCAACGGTCATACATGGTTGAATTAAACAATTGTAAGGGAGTGGCTCGTTTCACCTGTGTTTATGTTTTTTTTATATCTTCTATTTCCTTCTCCAGGTCCAAGTCAAGATGTCTGTCAGTAATCACGAAAACAGAAAGTCTCGCTCTAGTTCCGGTTCCATGAATATACAACTCTTCCACAAGACGTCTCACGCCGACAGTCTGTTGACCCAGCTCAACCTGTTGCGAAAACGAAAGGTCTTCACAGATGTTGTCCTGAAGGCCGGAAACAGATCCTTCCCCTGCCACCGGGCCGTCCTGGCCTCCTGCAGCCGATACTTTGAGGCCATGTTCAGTGGCGGGCTCCGGGAGAGTCGTGACGCCGACGTAAACTTCCACGACTCTCTCCACCCAGAGGTGCTGGAGCTCTTGCTTGACTATGCCTACTCGGCCCGAGTCATCATCAACGAGGAAAATGCAGAGTCGCTCCTGGAGGCTGGCGACATGCTTCAGTTTCACGACATCAGGGACGCAGCGGCAGAGTTTCTAGAAAAGAATCTCCACCAGTCGAACTGTCTGGGGATGATGCTGCTGTCGGACGCGCACCAGTGCCAGAGACTGTACGAGCTGTCATGGAGGATGTGCCTGGCGGACTTTGCTACTCTCTTCAAGACAGAGGACTTCCTCAGCCTGCCCAGAGACAAAGTCCAGGAACTGATCCTCAGTGAGGAGCTGGAGGTGGAGGATGAGAGCCTGGTGTACGAGGCTGTTATCGACTGGGTGAAGGCCGACATGGAGCACAGGCACAGCGAGCTGCCCGAGCTGCTACGCTGTGTCCGCCTGGCCCTGCTCCCTGAAACGTACCTGCTGAAGAACGTTGCTTCGGAGGAGCTGGTGATGTGCCATAAAGTGGGTAGGGAAATTGTTGAAGATGCCGTGCGGTGCAAAATGAGGATCCTCCAGAATGACGGCATTGTAACGGGGTTCTGTGCCCGGCCGAGGAAGGTCAGCCAGGCCCTGCTGCTGCTGGGAGGACAGACTTTCATGTGTGATAAAGTCTACATGATTGACAACAAGACTAAAGAGATCACCCCCAAAACAGACATCCCCAGCCCCAGGAAGGAATGCAGCGCCTGTGCTATTGGCTGCAAGGTATGTGTGTGAGCTATACTTGAATATGTGCATTTTCATGTCCTGTTATGTGGTACTCAGACTCTGATTTCTCTCCACATGTCTCAGGTTTATGTTACTGGAGGACGTGGCTCTGAAAACGGGGCCTCCAAAGATGTCTGGGTCTACGACACATTACACGACGAGTGGTCCAAAGCTGCGCCTATGTTGGTCGCCAGATTCGGACATGGCTCTGCAGAGCTCGACCACATGCTGTACGTCGTGGGAGGACACACGTCTCTTGCAGGATCCTTTCCTGCATCTCCATCTGTGTCTCTCAAACAGGTGGAACAGTACGACCCTCAGACCAATAAATGGACACTGGTGGCTCCGCTCAGAGAAGGGGTGAGCAATGCTGCTGTCGTCGGTGCCAAAAACAAACTCTTTGCCTTTGGGGGCACCAGTGTAAACAGAGAGAAATACCCCAAGGTGCAGTGCTTTGACCCTTGCCAGAACCGGTGGTCTGTGCCGGCCGCCTGTCCACAGCTGTGGCGCTACACTGCAGCAGCTGTGGTTGGCAACCATGTTGTGGTGATCGGAGGCGACACTGAATTCTCAGCCAGCTCTGCTTATCGGTTCAACAGTGAGACGTACCAGTGGTCAAAGTTTGGTGACGTGACAGCCAAACGGATCAGCTGCCACGCAGTGGCGTCAGGAAACAGACTATATGTGGTTGGAGGGTACTTTGGGGCTCAGAGGTGTAAAACGCTAGACTGTTATGATCCATCATCGGACTCTTGGGACAGTGTGACCAGCGTGCCCTACTCACTCATTCCCACAGCCTTCGTCAGCACATGGAAATACCTCTCGGCATAGAGCGAGAGAGACGCACTGACTCTTTGAGGTTTCTACGGTGAGTAATTGTAGCTTCCTTAAACTGACACAAATAAACAATATGCCAGTTAAATGTGCTATATATAGTGTCCCTTTGTATTGTCAGATTATATGTGGGAACTCACTTTGTGGAGGCAAAAATATCTTCAGATAATTCAAACAACTTTGTTACTTAACAGGTGAATGTCGGTTTGAACCAGATGAGGCCAGTTTAAAGCCCCTGACTGTTTTCAGGGTTGCTAGTGGTTACAGTTACACATTATCTTGCTTCTGTGACGGCTGGGTGTTGGATAAACATGGCGAGTCCTGGTTTAGAGAGCAGGAAGAATGTCGGCTCTGCTGGTAATTACAGAGCGAAAGCTACAACACAAGACCTCTGTCACTAACAGGAGCGAGGTGGAGAGGCAGGGATCACGTCTGTTCTTGTAGCGCCAAGAAGGCAAGCGGGCAGGGTGCTCCGCAGGGCAGACCTGAGTGCTGACGGACTGCCTATTATGAGTCAGTACCTTAAAACAGTTGTAAATTATAAAAAGTGATGTGACGCATGGTATTTAACGTATGGAGGGCTTCGAGCCAGAAGAGCCCGAGGATCTTTCAGTGAGCTTTAGATGAGAGCCAAAACATAGCTTTTTATTAGCTAATGTTGCACTGTATACTAATAAGTACAAAACGTAGTTTTTCTTTGTAAAGATAAGATATTATCCATATAGCACTGTGTTAAGTGTTTTACACGATAAAAAGGTAATAAAAACCTATTTCAGTCCATCTGTGCTGACAGAAGCCAGGGCACTGAGTAGAAAGTAGAAAAGTCAGATCAGTAATCCTATCATGACTTCAGGATGGGAGGTGGGGGGAGGGAAGGATCCATCTCAAGGGTATGAAAATATGATTGATTGAAATGTGGTATCGGTTTAGAATTGAAGGACCAACGGGTGGCAGTTTTCACAGCTTTGTGTGAGATAAGAAATTATCAATTTTTCCTGAGGTGTTTTTCAGTTTTTCGCACAGGGTGAGGGAGGATGGATGGAAGGGCCTGTAGATGAAACAAGAAGAGGAAATATAGTGATATTTTGAAGGGTTTGCGGGTTGTTTTTACATGTGTTGGAGCTAGATTTAAGTTTCCTCTCCTATGATCTTCTTTTAGCATTAATGCAATCGATGGGAAACGATTAATTGCTGCAGTAGTCATTGGATTTGCATTTTTAAAAGCACAGACTCTGCTGCACCTTTTTAAGCTAAGCATAACAATCGTCAAGCTCCCACCAAGAACATTTCCAAAAGTGGCTAGTGAAGTCTAATAGTTTTCAACTATTTCTGTGCCCCCGTAACTGTTAAAAATCAAGTTTAAAGTGTTTCAGGTTGTTACCAAGAAAATAAGTAATAAATAATAAATAATAAAAATAAAAATCAGTCACTAATGTAAATAAGAATGCGGAAGTAAAGAGCGTCTCTCTTGCTTCATTCTTAGTCTTATTTTTAAGTGTGGCAACTGAAGTTTGGATAAATCATACTCCTCTCCTTTTTTTTTTCTCCATTTTTTGCTGTGAGGAATATGGGGAAGTGAATTCCAAACAAGCTCCTTTTATGCTGCCAAGAACTTTGAAATTAAATCTGGGCGGAAGCAAGTGAGAAGCAGAGGACTTATGTGTGACTTGTGTCTACAGTAAACAGCTGGATATAATGGAGCTGGGGGCTTAGCATTATCAGGCTGCTGGTATGGACCGCTGTCTCCATGGTAGCCAAGGTTTCTGGGCCGGGATGGAGACAGACAGGCTGGCTATGAAAGATCAAGGCGCCGCATCCTTATGAACTCTTTCAGTTATGGTAGCTAACCTCCCGCTGCCGACTGCCTTTATGTTTAATTACAGCACACATGGAAAAAGCTCAGATTTCCAGCCTATTAAGCAGGCATTCTACCCTGACGCAGGTCGACACTCTCTCATCCGAGACAAGGGAGGCTTGAGAGGAGAAGTGAAGTGGCAAAAATTTTAGGGGAGCAACAAAGTGACACAGAACAGGAAACACACACACACACACACACACACATATATATATATATATATATATATATATATATATATATGTGTGTAGAGAAGGAGTTGAAGTGGAGAGCGAGTAAGACGAAGAAGTAAAGCTATATTTTGCATCGTTTGGCAGCCGAGACTAACGCCTGCCTAAAAATACTTTGCTCCCGAGGTTGTCAACTTTCAGCTGGGGTCAGAGAGAAAAATTATTCTGTGTATGTGTGTGTGTTTGCAAGTGAGTATTTGAGCGTATGTTCCTTTCATGTTCATGATGGGGCCGAAAACCACCAGTCAGCTGTTTAAGTATTCACTAGTAGTATAGTATTGTGAGTTTTTTACGCAGTTGTGAAACCACTCGTACTACTACTCTGTCTCTCTCTCACACACACACACACACACACACACACACACACACACACACACACACACACACACACACACACACAGGCAGTCACATTGCTGACATTGCCTGTCCTTTAAAAAGCCAGCCATCCTTACTCTAATTTGGGAGGAATGAAGGTGTGGCCTGCATTCCCATTAGTAAAGATTTGTTAATGTTGCCTTGTGGTTGAGGCCTTTCAGTTTTGCGTGGCCTGTATGGTATTACCAGCCTATTCTGCTCTTTTTGTCAGCACCTACTGTAGTTTGTAGCTCTGTGCCTTTCCACCAGATGTGACTAACCACAGACTCCAGGGCCAAACCAGAACCCGCTGTTGATGGAAAAGTATTTGTAAATGTTAAAGCATTATGGTTCGTGTTTGTTATGGTCCAGCCGGGAGGAGTAAATAACCTTTCAGGATAAAGTACAAAGACCTAAAAACAGATTTAACTGTAATATTTTGACAATTGCCTGTACAATTTTTACAGTTGCCAGTTAAGCTTTAAATTGTATATTCAGTGTGTTTTTTGGAAATACTAAGCTGAATAGGATCGTGGTGTAATCTGGTCAGTTGTTGGTGCCAGACTACAGGCAGGCAGGATGTAACCAGAGATCCCTGCGCAAAGTTCAGGGCAGTCTCTCCTTTAGAGCACTGAACTCTAACGGCCCCGGTGATGACTGTTATCTACGCTGGAGCCCTTGTTTTCTCAACCCCCCTCCCTTGTCAATCCCTCCCTCCTCATCACCCCTCTCTGCTCCAAAAAAAACACAGACATAAGCAGCTTTTTATTTTGTAACGGCTTCAACTGAAAACCCCTGTGAGGTTGGCACGGCTCTGTGTGATAGGGTACACCTGGAGAGGTCAGGGGCCACAGAGGGGGTCCTCGGCAGGCTCACTGCATCCCCAGACAGCTGCTGTAAAATGGAAAGGTTGTGGTGGGATCAGGGAGGAGGAGTGCAGAGGCCCCAGTCACTCAATACTAATGTTTTATTAATGCCTCGCTGTGAGGGCCACCAGGAACACAAGCTGAATGAGGCTTTTATTATGGCATCTGGGTACAACAACGCCCCCCCACCCCCCCAACCCCTTCCCTCAGACACACATACACAGTTAGAGTTAGCACGTGCACACGCACACTTCGTCTTCAGTCCCTTGAGTAATCAATCTGCCACATTACAGTCCTCGGCATGGCTGCTTAAATTTGCATAAACCTAATGGAGTTTTTATTGGTCTTTTCTCCACGCTGCGACTAACAAAAAGGAAAAGGGAAGAAGATGCTCAAAATGGCTGAATAATCACCCAGACTAATTTGATTACGCCCTTAAAAAGAGACGAGCTGTCATACAGTTACAGGGGCCTCAGAAAGCCAGCTGGGATGGGACAAAGTGTGTCTGCCTGGTAATTAATCTGAATTACGTAATATTTGTTGCCTCTGAAGTAGTACTGAAGTGGCGCGTATTCAGTCACAGAGACGCTTTTTGTTCTAGTCTTAAACTGAAGTTTCTGCAAGGATTCATCAAGACGTGCCTCCGTTCTCTTTGCAGCTGTACGCAGATACTTTTGTCTCTGAGCTCACCGTGGAGTCCTTTAACCGTCCCTGAAAACAATGCAAACTCATGTAAATGAAGTGACTGTGATTCATACGTTGGTCAATACAGTGAAATTCTTGGTGGTCATTAGTAAACATAGCACAGGCCTTGTTGGACACAAGGGACAGTTAAAGAAAGAGGACTCAGCATTGTGGGTAATGGAAGGCGCAGATGGAGTCCAAGGTGCAATAAAGCTAAAGAAATGGAGATGAATGTCATGATGCAGGTGTCAGGTTGATAAATGTGACCTAGTCTTGCGGTGGGTGTGTGCGCTTTCAGCTAGACGGTGTGTATGAATCAGAGAAAAGCTTGAGATTTGGACGTTATTTTCTTTCTGGCATTATTCCCATGTGGAGGAGAAAGGCAGGTGATGGGAGCAGACAGACTGAGACAGGTTAAACCTCAGAGTGCCAGATCCAATCACTTCATATAGTCCCAGCCCATCTGTTTGGCCTGCTGAAGGACACATGGACTCCCTTCACCGTAGCACACTGTGGTTGCTGCAGACCAAAGAGACACACAGGGGGCATCTGGGTACTTTCTGGGTTACAATTATTAACCCCGCCACCTGTTGGCATCCCATACTCAAGACATCTTACACCCTGTTGGCAGATGGAAGTCAGATTTGTGAAGGTCGATTTGGTTATTTCGGTGCACGGAGAGTTTGAATGCAAGTCAGGGTGAGTTTGTCTATATGAACAATTGTGTGAAGCGTGTGGGTGCTGCAGCTCGGTATTTGTGCATAATTGACCTTGACATGACAGCTAATAATGACAGGACTCTGAGACAGTCTGGAGCTCATTTCTGGAGACAGCGGGACCCTTGTTGTGGCCGAGGGAGCTGGAGTCTGAAAATGTAAGACAGAGGTGTTGTTTTATTGATGGATGTACTGATGATGACAGACACATAACCTTTGTGGGTCAGAGTGTTTCTCTATGGAATACATTTTGACATTTTGACATACATTTGACCTCTAATACACTGTCCCCCTTCTTGACATCGCTGACCTGGGTCAAGATCATGCCGGTGTCTTGTCAACACAAATGCATCATGTGAAAGCCCACTCTCTCTCTGCAGCAGATATATAACTAAATACAAAGTTGCAGCTCTTATGAAAGGGTGTTATTGTCGTACTTGGAGCAGAGCAGAGCGTATTTAAGATTCAGAGGCATGCTCTTCATCATCTGCACTTCAGAGAGATTAGACAGCAGCAGCAGCAGAACTCAAAATGTGCAGGCAGTGACCTTTGCACATATACACAGAGAGAGAGAGAGAGACAGTGGAAACTTCCATCAGGCCTGCAGTTGCATGTGATACAGTAAGTGCGTCTACTGCTGCTTTACATCTTTTGATCAGGAAGGGTGAACTGAGGTTGTCTTGTTGTTACTGTTACTGGTTGGTTTCAGGGCTGATATCAAACTTTAGTAGAGTTGTTTGGTGTGTTTGTGGCAGGGAGTCAACTGCTACTGGAAGCTGGCACCGAATGTCTGGCCAGATTTGTAATCTTGTTTACTCACTCTGTGATCAATTAGGTCCTGATTTAAATCTTGTACAGCTGCTTGTGTTTAACACTTAACATCAAAAACTGTGGTTTGTTCTGGTAAATTAAAGGAAAACCTCAACATTTTAAATACACTTATTCACCGTCTTGCAGAGTATTCTTATCGAGATATCCTGCTGTCTCCGGTGGTTGCCTGGTAACAGAAACACAAGATAGTCTACCTTGTGTAAAATAAACTTGCAGTATTTACACTTAAGTTTTTGTAAGGAATACGATGTAACATGTAATTAGTAAGCTTTAGAGCTGCTGATAGGAGGATGTTGTTACCTTTAGACAGAGCCGGGTAAGCTGTTGCCCCCGTTGCAAGTTTTTATGCTCGGCTAAGCTCATTTAACCGGCTGCTGGCTGTAGCTTCATATTAAACTACAGAAATTTGAGAATGGTATAAGCCCTCTTCTGTAAGTTTATTTCTCTAAATTTCCCAAAAATGTTACTATTGCTGAAAAAAGTAGTGTTCTGCTATTGGTAGTGGTACTTGGGTATTGGCACTAGAGTCAAAACACTTAAAATACCCTTTAGCTGGTTGGTTTGTGCCTTGAAGCCATTAAACTGACAAGGAAATTAATGTCTTCTTCATTGCTGTTGCAGAATACTGCAGTTTGTATGGCATAGCGAAGCCTAGTTTTCCCACTGCTTCTTACGTTGAAGTTTGTTTGTAATGTCTTTTTACCTCTGTTGTGCTTCCAGTAGTATAGTGCTCCAGTGGTGTCCCACTGTTATGCTTCAGGCAATATATTCACAACAGTAACAAATGCGTACTGATCAGTGAAGGCTTCTGTAGTATCAGCCGGCTTTGTCAGTCATGGAAATGAGAACTCATTAGGTTATCCAAACAAGCCCCCAGCAGAGCCATCCTGTAACTGTCAACTCTCTATCTCCTGGAATAGAGAGCACACACACACATACATATCGTTTAACTCCTCTGGCAGAGCAGAGTTATCATAAGAAAATATGCAAATCAGAAGTAAACATCACGTTCAGTTTTCTCTCCAACCCCCCAAATATCCATTGGAACATTCCTTCATAACAGCAGGGGAGGAAAAATCAGATAGTGAAATATTTGAGGTTGTAGAGAAATGTGGAGAGGTGAGGTTCCAAAGAATTTGTCATCATAAGAAAGCCTCTTACAGTATGAATTATATCCGGATAAAGCAGATGAGCTGATAGTTTTTGGAATATGTGTTTTATCTCCAGAGAAGCTTATTTTTACAGAGTGGGGGGCTCTCCGCTGCCATCCTCAGATATTTATTACCTAGCGACATAAATGGCTTGAGCAGCTTAATCCCACATGCCAGGAGGACTTTGGTTAAATAACGCCCCATCCTGAGGCATTATCAACGCTATGTGGGTAAGCTCGATAAAATGGCATGGTGATAAGCTGATGTGTAGCCCGGAGGACCGAAGTCTCTGCATTCCTCCCCGCTCCCTGAGAATGTCCAGGCCGCCCCTCTGGTCATGTGGTCGGTCCTCATACAGCAGAGTTCCCAGGACCTAAACATTAATCTCCCTCTGTCTCTTTCTCCAGATCAGCCGTGGTGTCTGGTATGCAGGCATGTGTCCCCCTTCACTGGCTGCACAGGGGAGGAGGAGGAGGAGGAGGAGGAGGAGGAGAAAAGGGGAAGAGTTTGTGTGTTCCTGCTGTGGCTCCATCCAGCCTGATTCACATTATCTTCAGCTGCAGAGGAGCCTGACTCCTGGAAACAGCCCAGAGACTGGAAGTCTACGGCCTCTTTCCACCTGATCTGTTTACTCATACTTCTTGTGTAACTTTCCCATGTAGCCACTAGCCTGAGCTGGGCTCGTTGCCATGTATACTGCACAGACTTCACAGTTGTGTCTATATAACATGCAAAGTACAGCCAGGAAACAGACAGATAGTGGAGATGTGTGCTCTGGGCATCACATGTTCTCTTCTTTCCACCTCCTCTGGCAAATACTGCTACTGTGACTGTAACAGCCCTGCACTGCTCATTTGACTCACTCCATCATCAAACATAATCTCGCCAGTAGATTGCTAGTTTAACAGACTCTGTAAAGACTTACTAGTGTCTCTCTTACTCACATGTTGTTTTACAGTGAACTGAAAAAAGAAAGTCGGCTATCCTCTGTCGTCGTCGCTCTTCTCCCCTCCTGACACTGGGCGTTTACTCAGGTGTAATTTATTTGGACTGCTGATGGACTGAATTAGACCTTTGCTATGCCAGGCGTATGGGGAAGGAGAGAAAACATTTGGGGAAGTGTATGATTTTGTGCACAGAAACAATCTTCCTGTCTGTATTTTTAGACTTTGGACTTGGGCTTCCCTCAATTTTGGTAAGCTAAATTCGTATCTTCCTCCTTCACTTAAAATACACGCTCGCAAGAGAGAATGTGGCCCATTACGGCAGAAGAAGACGCTTTTCTGTTTCAAGATGTTATTTCATACTATGATTTTGTCAATTTTTTTTATAATTTGTGTCTCAGGGTTATGTATAGTTATGCCTGTATTTGTTCAAGGAAGCGCAACGTTTGTTTTCTGTCTCCTTTGTTCTTAAAATGTTTTTTTTTTGTGAATGTATTATTTTGTGATAAACAATTTTACAGAACTCTCTTTCATTTTAGAAAACATCCTTACATCGTTTTGCCAAGTGAAAATGTGTAATTGCGCTTAATAGCTGTGGTCATATTTTATAATATAAATATTGCCAAAACCTGAATACCTAACCTTCGTGTAATTCTCCATCTAAATAACAAAGCTAAATGTGTCCAGAGTAGTTAATAAAAACTTTGTAGCTATAATATTATTTTTCAGGATCTTTAATTGAAGTCGTCTGTGTGTATAGTTTGTATATTTGCTTTTGTAATTCATTTGTAGAAGCCTTTGATTTGCACAATTTGTACAAAGAAATCTCTTTATGGTCTTAATTTTGTATCTTTGTCTTACCCCGGCTCGGGTAGTGTGAATAATCAAAGCCTTTTTGTAGCAAATAATCAAGTTGTTTCTCTTCATTTGCTCTGTGTGGAAGTCTGCGGTTTCCCCAATATATGGAAGTATATATCAGATATACTGATATATTAAGCTATTACTGATACATCCAACTGTTAATTCATGTTCTACAGCTCATAACTTGTCAATAAATATCTTGTTGAAAACGGATTCCGTTGTTTGTCCTCTGTTTTCCAGGGAATGACTGGAATTCGGCAGCTGTGTCATTAAAACAGCGAGGGCAGCCATATAATCACACAGGTACTCTTAACGTGCCTGGAATAGTTTCCAAACACAGGTTAGGAGTGGTTTTGGTATTTACCAGGAACACCCGTCTCCTTCCTCCTGTCTGTGTGCATTTAAGATCCAGTGAGATGAACAGGCCATCCTCTGTCTCTTTTAATCCCCACCTTGTCGGAGCGATATCACACTTTCTGGTTACGTGGTATGTGAAGTGCAAGCCTCTGCTGCTCTGGCACTCTCATGCAAGATGTGCGCACACATTATAAACCCTCAAACCTTGAAGAATGTGTTAATGCTCAGTGTTAGTCAGGCAATGCTCCTCCATACCTCTCGTTCTGCACTGGCAAAGGTGTACGTGAGAAAGCGGAGTGCAGTCCAGACTGGGCGTTGGGTGGGAAGAAGTCTGGTTGGCACATTTGTGGAGACTGGCAGGGAGGAGAGCCAGAGAGGAATGTACCCACACTCAAGTGCAGGGAGGTGGCTCTGAATGTGCTGCCTGCAGGCTCCACGTTTGAAGATGTTTGAGTCTTTGTTTCTTTGGATTTCAGTAGTTTGCGGTATGCTTGAACTTTCAAATTTTTCCTCTATTTATTTCAAAGCAAACTGCTGTCTCGAGCATCTGTCCCTCAGAAGACGTGGCAGCAGGTGATTTAAACACCAAGTTGAGAAAGCTTAACGCTCTGATGAAGTGGGTAACAGTATAGATAAATAAATGTTTTATAAACCAACATAGAAAACATGGATATAAATCATAAAAATAACCTTGCTGATGGAAATTGCTGAGGTGAAAACAGATCATCAGTAAGGTAAAACTAACCTGTCTCACAACGGTCTAAACTCAGATTATGTTCCATATCAGTGGGTGAAATAACTGACTCCTGAGTACATATGTATGTGTTACATGGCTGTTTTGAGTCTGTGTGGACAAAATGTGGTTTGAACAATGATGACAGTATGACTAAAGACTGTAGGCAGACCAACACTTGGCCTTTACGGCAGGATAAAACATTTTAACTTTAACCTTTGCAGACTCACACTAACTCTCTCATTTAGACCATCGCTTTTTCATCCTCCCTCAGCTCTTCCTTAGTCATCACTCACCTCCATTTTCTCTCGCCGCTCTGCCTGGGAGGAGATGAGACAAGTTACCTTGAGGATGTTTGAGGGAGATGGATGGATGAACACATATATCAGTGCACTTCAGTGTGCGTGTGTGTGTGTATGTGTGTGTGTGTCAGATGGGAGGGAGCGAGTGAAATGTAATGCTGGAGAGACACACGAGGGAAACAGCTGAATGTTTTGCAAGTTGTTTGCAAGTTGTGCTCTGGGTAGTTTGAATATCAAATATCCTCAAGTATGTTGATCGCTGTAACATCGTGTCCTAAATATCTAAAGATGGATGTAATCTCTACAAACTTGAGAAACAAAACAATATTCTACTAAAAAAAGGCTCTGTGCTCCATTTACACGGAGTGATCTGCCTATACATTACATGATGAGCAAATTACATAAAATCTAGGGGATGCCCTAAAACAAACACGAGTGATATAATGCAACTGCATTGTTTAATCCTTTCAAAGCCAACTGGAAAAAACTTCAAAGGATGCTGCTAATTGGATGTAAACAAGAGGCGGCTCCATAAATCCCCCTCTGCAGCCATGACATCATGCCTGTAACAGGGTATGTCCAGTCAAGCATGTGGACATGTTTGTGCCAGTATGGGTACAGGGATTTATCAAAGGTTAATTTATGGATTTTTTAAATACAATGCAGACCTGCATAAAAAGATGAAACACGCCTCTCTGAAAAGGAGACCTGGCACTGGACAGCGGGATGAGCAGGCCGGTCAATGGCTGCTATTGTAATGCAAAATGTGCAGACCGGGCAATTTCAAACAGATTTTTCCGACAACACAATTAAACCACGGCGAATAAACAGACATTTGAAAGTCGGCCGGAGACAAAAAGAACCTCAGAGGCCGCCAAAACAACAAAAAAAAAAGGAGGGAGGGAGAAGAAAGAGGACAAACTGCCACAACAATCTGGATCCTTAATGGAAAGATATGTGGGGTCTCTGTGCGTGTGTGTGGGTGTGTTTTTTGTGTGCTTAATATGAATTTATACTTAATGTGCATGTGGCGTGTGTGTTTATGCGTGTGTGAGGTGGGGGAAGGGCAGTTAGAGCTTCTTGTTGACCCATAAGAAAGGAGGCAGTGGGGTGGAACGGACAGGGACGTTGCACTCTGTATCTCCACCCAAATGTCGGCGTGTGTCTGCTGGCCTGAGACCCCCAGCAGGGGCCTCTGCCTGCTCTGGATGGGGACAAAGACGCCTTGATGAGGCCAGAATCGACGTGCTCTCACCTTCCCCAGGGGGCCTGAAGGATGCCCTTGCAGGCCAGCTTGGAAAACCCCACAGCTGAAGGGCAGATCAATATGTACCTCCTGGCAGAAACAGATCTGGTCTGATAGATGTGCAAAACAAAGTATTTAATTCTCAATTTAAAACACTATATCAGTCTTTCTAGGCTATATTGTTTGTTAACTCCACTGCAGCTACACACATTCAGTTAATCTGTATTGTTCTTAGAGCATCATTTGCTGCCAGGTCATCATTAAAAGATCATATTGTTACCACTGAGCAATAAAATGTATATTTGTGTTTGTCAGTGTTGCAATAGGGAGACAGAGATTATAAATGTGTTGTGCATGTATCTATGGCTACAGATAGACATGGAGTGTGTTCAGAATATGTCTGTCTGGATGTGTTTGAAAATTGGCCAATTGGCCAGAGCCACATCTTAAAAACCAGCTGAGGACACTCTTCACTCCTTCACTGTCACTCTTACATAAGTGTCCCTCGTTGCAAATCTCTGTCAGTAAACACCAGTCTTCCTCTCCCATATTCTCTTTCTCTCTGCATCTCTCTTTGAAATTCACTTCCTTCTCTTGTGCTTTACTGGCGTGAATACTCAGACAGACACCACGAGCCTGTCCTACCCTCAAGGATAAATCATTACTGAACAATGTGGTCCCCCTTCTCTGTGTCTATGCTGTTAAATGTGTCTCGACATCTTTCTCCCCCCCCCCCCCCCGCCTCCCGCCTCGCCTCTCTGGCTGTGGGCATCTCTGCTGGCAGCAGCTCTGAGGTTTCAGAGCTGACTGGGTAAGCAAATGAGGAGTAAACAATGTGCGAGACAGACAGACAGCCACTCAGACAGCCTGACCACCGGAGCGAATGCAGGGGTTGTCTCGCCTTTGCTGTCTGAGCAGGAGGGGTGTGTGTGTGTGTGTGTGTGTGTGTCAGGTCGGCTAGCACCAAGAAGAAAGAGAGACCTGAAGCCTCTACACCAAACCTGCACTCACATATTCAGACTGAACTGCAGACTGAACCACATAAGGTGTGTTGTGGGCCTGAAATGTAATTTTCTATCATGGTGGAGTCTCACTGTGAGATACTGATGTACATTATAGGAGCAACAGCTTGCAAGATTATAAATGTGTTGAAAATGTTCTGATACAGCTTCATAATTTAAACCTCCGGAGGGGAAGCTTTGAGCTGCAGCTTCAAAAAATTGAGGGTTTAATAAAAAAATAGCTTATGAAATGCATCATCTTAAAGGAGGCCATATTCTGCTTTTAGGTTTTTTCCCCCTGTTCTTCAGTGTATTTTATAGATTTCTTGTGCATGTAAAGGGTATGAAAAGTGAAAAAAGTAGTAGGGTAGACGTTTATTTTTCATGTTTTTTTTTGTATAACTTCATACTGCAGCGCTAGCGTTAGCTCTGCTAGCGTTAGGTCCGTAAGGGTTAGCTTTGTCGTTATCTGTGCGTGTATGTTGCAGCTGAATGTAAACCCCTTTGACAAGCACCCAGCAGCTACATTAGCTTGCTCATTGCTAAAAAACAATAGAAAGAATCAAAAGGCAGAATCATGGTGGGCGGGGCCTGCGTAGGCTTTGTGGGAGCTGACCAATCGGAGCAGACTGGGCTGTCAGACAGAGAGTGAAAAGAGGCCTGTAGCAATTAACGCATCTAATTATATTATAGTAGACAAAAATGAATCTGAAAATGAGCACGATATGGCCTCTTTGTGTCTAAATCAGTATGTCTTCAAAAACGAGCTAATTTGGAACATGGTAAGACTTTCAAAATATAAACTATAAGCAGGTATCTTAACACTACTTTTGCTTGTTTTATCTTTTTATTCCACTTTGATTTCAAACTAAATCTGTTTTAATGCATGCAACATAGCAACTACTGTCTCTCTCCTTTGTTCCTCCTAAATGTAAAAATTCATAAACTTAGAAGAACAGTCCTGTTCTCAGCTTTTCAGATTTTTAAATGGTTTATTGAGCTTAAAAAGTAGAAAATAATCTCTCAAACCTTAAAAAACAACACTCATTAGAATTGGAATTGGAGATACATGAAAAGCTATTTCTGTGTGGTATTGCTGTATATACTTATAACAGTATCTATACCACCTACAGTATCTGTGCTTTGAGTTTGCCTGTTAAACTCTTAATGAATACAGAAGCTGCATGTTCAGTCCAACTGACAGCTGGAGCTGGGAATTATTTATCTACTCCTTTGTTACTGTCGATGATACAGTTTGATAACGTGCCCTTAAATTAAGGAAACAGTATTGATCTTGCTTCTGCATGCGTGCCAAATCCTTAATCCTTTATACCGTAACAGCTTAGAATAGAGGCGAACAGATGATGAATAGCTGAGTGAAATTATCTTATCCATAACTACAAGTGGCCTTATTATAAAAATAGTGTGTTGCCATTTTAAGTTGACACAGAGGTGTGAAATTGTAATCAATGTGGATTACAGAGGCAGCATGTTTTTGCAGACTTGTTCCAACAACATTTGACTCTCTCTCTCTCTCTCTCTCTCTCTCTCTCTCTCTCTCTCTCTCTCTTACC